TTTACAACAATTTTTTTTTGAATTCTGGGGTACAACCAAAGATTGTATGTTTCATTTGGCCTGATTAGCCTGACACTTTTTAAATACTGCAAGTTTTAAGTTACTAAACATAAGCATTTTACCTTAAGGATAGCTTTGTCAAAGAAATTAGAAGATGGTTCTTTAGTAATAAACAAGTTCTGGCCAGAAAGAATGCCTATCCATTTATATCAAAAAGCAGCACTAAATATGGCCCATTGACCGGAAGGTTAATATAAATTATGTAGAGAGTATTTGTCAACTAACCTTTAAAACAGCTACAGAGGTGATCTACTGATTAGAGTCGTATTGTCCTTCCAGAATTAGATGGCATATATTTAGGAGCAAATATTTCCCTCTGCTTAAGAGCCTGAAGAATAAAATCTAGAATAGCACAGCTGGAGTCTACAGTTGTGCTGTTTCTCCTGTGTTTATGACATGTGTGTCCTGCATGTGCACACAGCTGCTGGGGTCTGGTCCTGCTCCCCGAGGGCACCTACTTATCTGACATTCTTTACTACCTTTATTCTCTGGTCCTCAGAGGGGAGGTATTGCCTTCCCTCCACTGACCAGGTCACTCCGTTGTAAAATGTAAGAAAATGCACATGAAAGTACTTGGATCCAAAGAGAGGAATTGCAGAGAGGACGATTGCATGCAATTAAGGGAAGCATTGAGAAACCAGTCTGTGGATAACTCAGGACAACTGGGCTTCTGGAACATTGGGACACCTCACCACCGTGCACACAGGCTGTGCTGCCACACACCTCACTAGATCAGTGAGTTCTAGGGTAACTTGTGGTAGGTGCCTTCCCAGGGAGTGAGCTGGAGTTATCATAGGCTCGCAGCCTGAGCAGGAAATACTATGTGAACTGCAACCTGTCTGCACTTGGATACTGCTCCAAATGCAGATGGGCCGCAGTTCAAATAGTATTCCCAAGCATAGTCCCTGGAACACTCATCCTACAAGATGTACCTTGGAGAAGGGGTTCTCTGGCCAAGTAAATTTGGGAAACTGTTCTTTACCTAGTGGTTTCCCACATACAAAGAGTTCAGAAGATATAAAGAGCTCAGAGAAGTACTGAGGTAAATAAACTTATTGAAATTTCTTTAATCCTTCATTTCCCAAACTCATTACCCACAAACCTCCACTTTGACTCAGGGAACTGAGGATAATAGTTGGACTTTGCTCCCGCCCCTGTTTTGATGGACATGAGGGTAGGTGAGAAAGCAGGACGCTGGCAGCTGGATGGCAGCAGGAGAGAGTGGGAAGAGGGCAGGAAGAAGGAAAAGTCAGACATTTCACTATTTGGCTGCAATTTCTTCCCTCAAGGCTGGACCTGGATCTGGAGCTACCTAGAATTCCGCTTGGCATGATCTACAGATGTGGGTTTTGGTTTGAACATCACTGGCTTCCCATAATGGTTTTATTTCCTCCAAAGACCCGTGAGTGGAGGGAACAGTGGCCCCTGCAAAACAGCCTCCACATGGGTCTCTCAACTGAAAATTGTCCTGGTGGGCAGCCATGACCCGAGGATAGAACTCTAAGAGCCATGGTCCACGATCAAGGATTGGAAATGGACACACACCTCATAGGACAGAGAGAAACCCACTGGTTAGAGGTTTAGGAGAAAGAGGGAAGGAAAAGTTAGGTTGACTGTTGAGCAGGCTTGAAGACTGGTGAGAGAGGGAGATGTGCTATAGAACCAACTGCGGAGGGAATTAAGGCTCAGGGGAAAGGAATGTGCTCAGGCTCATCAGCAAGTTGGTGGCAGTCCTGGGGCCAGGTCCTCCCTAGGCCTCTGGAGTGTGGATTCAGCAAGGAGAAAAGCCAGGATTCAAATCCAAAGCAGGAAGGCACATGGGAAGGAAGGAGGGAGAAGGAAGGGTATTAGTCTGTTTTCTAATGACACAATATCACAGCCTGGGTAAGTGAGAAGGAACAAAAGATTTATTTTAGCTCATGATGCTTGTCCAAAGGTGAGAAACCACATCTGGTGACAGCTTTCTGCTGGCAGAGTCCTAAGGGGACACAGGACATCACATGGCAAGAGGGAGAACATGCCTGTACACAAACCTAAGAGTGCTTTCTGATCCTGTTCCCTCTTCTTCATCGTCATTTTTTTTTTTGGCATTTATTTTTTAGTTGTAGTTGGACACAATACATTTATTTTATTTATTTTTATGTGGCGCCGAGGATCGAGCCCGGGGCCTCACATGTGCTAGGCGAGCGCTCTACCACTGAGCCACAACCCCAGCCCCTTGTTCCCGCTTCTCACAAAGCTACCGGAACCCATTATGGGACTCTACTTTAAAGATCTTATCCACTCCTAAGCAGCTTCCCAAAGCTCCATTTCCAATCCCCGTAGTCAGATTCCGTTTCCACCCTCTCAATACTTCACGATTGAAGTCAAATTTCAAAACATAAACACAGGGACCTGCTCAAACCATATTCAAAACAAAGCAGGAAGGAACAAAGAAAAGAAAGGAAGAAAAAAGGGTTGGAAGTGGAGAGGGAGAGACGGTCTGTCTTGTGGCGATGGAGATCAATTGTCCAGCCTCAGGAGAAACGTACACGATTATCTACGCGCCCATCCTCCTCTTCTCCCAACAAAGTTGGGGTCCCCACATCCCCATGGCTCTTTGAGGGCAGCCGTTTTTAAGGAGCCCTCAGTTGGCTGGGTCAAGTTAAGTACTGACCCAAGATGTGCCAGCAAGTCCTCTGGCCAGGGATTTGAACTTGGAACCCAGGAGAACTCAAACTCAGTCTCTCCGTGGAGCAAAAGCTGCCAAAGACATCTGGAGACATTTGTGACCATGTTTTCTGCACTGTGGAGAGAACTGGTGTGCAGAGAGAAAGGTAACACAAGGCAAGAGATAGAAAGACGGTCCCCGAGGGGTTTGAGTCCCTGGGGGGAGTTTTCCGGATGGTTTTGGAAGCCAACAAATTTCTCATTTTGCTTAGGCTGTTTTGTTGATGTTCCTTCACAGGTTGCAGTGAGTCCCCCCTATGTGGAGGCTGCTCCACGAATACCCCGCTAAGAAGCCAGGAGCTGCATTCTAAGCCAGTTGGGTCTGACAAATCCCTGGGGGGAAAAATGAGCAATTTTGCCGGGAACGAGGGCAGTATCTCACCATGGACTGCTGGAAATACAGCGGTCTGTTGAGAGTCAGTCACACTGCGGGTGGGTGTGGGGGCTCCTAACGTGTGCCCAGTGAGAGTCCTGCGTTCTTCACAAGGGGATGTTTATAGGGGCCGTGGAGTAAGAGATTAGCAGAATCTGAGCAGTGAAAGGGAAGTAGAGGTGGGTTCATTTTTAAGATTTTAAAGGCCCCCAAAGAGGACTGGTATGAATGGAGGCCCAGTATTTAAAAGTTAAATATCAAGTTAACAAACTGTTCAATAAATATTTATCAGATGCAGAATGTTCTCTCCTCCTACACCAGAGACACCAGAAGGCCCCCGAAGGCCAGCGGGATGTTCAATTCTCAGAGTCCTCATAGCTCCATCGCAAATGCAGGGAGAGCCAGACTGGCTCCCAGCCCCCAGATTGTTCTTCTTCTCCATGCCTAACTGCTTTCTGGGCCACGGGGGACTTCATGTGCACTGCAGGGACACCCCCACCCCAGCCAGACTCTCCAATGTCTGCTGCTCCTCAGCAAACCCTTGCTTCTTAGTCTCTGGGCCTGGGGATCTGTGGTCCTTCCTTGAATGGATGGGTCTGGGAGGGCCTGCACAGACCCTGGAGGTGAACTTTGGGCCATCTGGACATAGATTTCCAGGTTCCAGGACCAGGACTGCGGTCTAGAAGGGTGGGCAGTTGGGTGGACACTTCTTCTGGGTTGTGTGGACTCCTTGCCCTTTGGGGAAGAGCATGGCCAGGGCAGGGCCTCCGTGCCCAGGTCAAAGGTGGGTCAACCAGAGAATAAGGAGAAGGTACTGGAAAGTTCTAGACTGGGACAGGAACCAAGAAACTTCCTATCTTTGCAGTCTGGGTCTCTGGACCTCAAAACCTCCACTTGACAATATGATGATTTTGAGTTAGAGGTAGAGATTTCTAGCCCAGAGTTGAGGTCAAACTACGGTTTCAATTTTGAGGGTTTTTTTTTTTTTGGTGGTGCCATGGATTGAACCCAGGGCCTTACTCATGTGTTGAGTTTTTTGTTTGTGTAACTTTGGGCAAAATCCTTAATCTCCCTGAGGATCAGTCTTCTCATCTGTCCAGTAGGATGCACCTCCTTCGGCTTGCTGTGAGGATTAAAACAACTTTGGTAAAGAGATGAGTTCAGGAAGTGCCTATTATCCTAAACTCCATTCTTATTCTTTCTCTACTGCTGTTGAGATCTCTGAGATTATTCCCAGCTTAAACAGCTGCTCCAGGTTGCTCTTTAGAAAGGAGATGATTTTGGCTCTCCGGTTTTATTCTCAGGCTGAGCGTCAGCATCGTTGGTGAACTCTGGATTCTCCAGTGTCATTTAAAAATTGCTAACCCCCAGCAAGTCACTTGACTTCTCAGAGCCTCAGTTTCCTGTTGGTAAGATAGAGGACAGCAGTATCTATTCAGAGGGCTGTTCTTAGGAATGGATGAGATAGTACCTCTAAACTCTTCAACAGGGCCTACCCGGCACAGAGCAAACTCGCAAAACTCTATTTTTATTTTACTCTCTTCCTGTCCTTGGCCACCTGTAAGCAGATGGTGTCCGAGATATTTTGGGTTGTGGTGGACCTGCTTCTGGAGCCACTCACTGCAGCCATTCTCCCACTCTGTGAAATAAGGGCCTCCAAGGAAGAAAAACCTCAAATCCGATTTGTTCTCTTAAATTCAAGGTCTAATTGCTTTGGGAAGAAGCCCATGTTGGCTGAAATCATTCTTTGTTTCACTCTTCTTTGCTCCTCTCGGGCAAAGCTTAATCTCATTCAGACCTTATGATTACACAGGAAAGAAGAATTTTTGCCAAGAAGAGAAAATAGCAGCTGAGACCCTTAGAGCTCAGACAAGGAGATTGCCCCGGACCCGTGCTCCTTCTGGGCAGCTCCACTTCCTTCTCTTTCCTGCATTAGAAAATTGACCTCAGACATTTCCGAGCCAATAATAGACAAATCTGGCTTCTCCCCAGGAGCTGACAGGCAGGCAATCTCGTGGCACCGGAGGGTCTGGTAAATGCTGGGCCATGCAGGCTCTGGCACTTGCTGGTAAGGCTTGTTCTGTGCTGGCAGCAGCCTGGTGGAAAAGAGCCAAGTTGGTGTGCAGATTCTCCGGTAACCCGGGGTCTCCCTGCCACCATCAGCTTCAATGGAAACCTCAAATTGAGCATCACAGCAGTTTTCCGTTAGCAAAAACACAGACTATGTTGATCCCTTCTACTTGGTCTGCTGCACTGAGTCTTCCCTTCCTCCTGGCTATTTCTAAACACCTTAGAAAGCCATCTGCTTCTCCCCTGCAAGTCTCTCCCTTCATAGTTCTGTTCTTGCTGCTGTCACTTACCCCTGCCCCCCAACCCCTGCCGCCCTGACTTGTTTCATCTACAAGGAACTCCTCAAAGTTCCCAGGACTTTCCCCCATCCCCACCTTGCCCAGGGTCCTTGCTCTTTCATGTGCTGCCCCAACTCTTTATTTTTAATTGTGGTAAAATATGCATTGTATAATTGGCCATCTCAATCACTTTAAGTGCATAATTCAGGAGCATTAAAAACATCGCTCATAACCCACTTGAATCAAAGTGTGAAATATGATATATCAAGAACTATGTAATGTTTTGAACAGCCAACAATAAAAAATTAAACAAACAAACAAACAAAAAAAAACGTCTTCATACCTTGGTGCAGCCATCATGAACTTCTTTTCATCTTGCAAAACTGAAACTCTGTATCCATTAAACAACCACCTCTCATTCCCCTCTCCCCTAGCAAAGACCATTCTACTTTCATCTCTAGGATGGACTATTTTAGAAACTTTGTATATGTGGAATGGTGCAGCATTTGTTTTTTAGTGGCTGGTTCACTGTACTTAGCTTAATATTCTCAGGGTTAATCTATATGGCAGCAGCTCTTCCATGTCCTACTCATCTTTTAGGTGTATGAATTTCCTCCTTGTGGGGAGCCTCCCTCCCAACCTCCCTGGCCAAGTTCCCACAGTGCTTTGTGCCCCTCCTGTCAAGGGGAAGGGAGCCAAGCACTGAAGTGCTGGATCCTGGAGACCCCTTGGTCCCTCAGTGGGGTGTGAGCTCCTTCAGGACACAGATTCCTCTGCCCTCATGATTGTTTGCCCAGTTTTGTATCACAGTACAGTGCCTGGCACAGAGTGGTCCTCAAGAAATATTGAAGATGGAATGTTAAATAAACTGACCCTGGTGGTATTCATGGACAATTATCTAATCAAAACTTGAGACCTAAAATCTGAATGCTCTAGATACATCAGGGGGATGGGGTGTACTTAACCATGCTTTCCTGTAGCATGCTCTGTCTCCGTGGCCCCGGTGTCTACTTGTTCTGTTTTTTGCTGGTCTGTTCTACAGTCTCTGGCTGGAGGTATTCTATGCCCCTTTTCTCCATGCACAGTCCCTTGGGTCACCCATGGACCTTTCTGACACCATTTCTCTGGAGATGATTTCAAGTCTGCCTGTCCATGTCTCACTTCACCACACACAACCTGGGAAACACCTACTCCCAGCTACCTCCAGACCTTTCTGTTTAAGCTGGCCCCAGACAACATTGCTGTGTTAACTCCGCGGAGTTAACACAAATATCATCAGTCAGATTTGAGTTTTGCAGGGAAAATAATCTGCCACTTGCCCATAGCTTCCGTGTGTGGGGGACATGAGTAAGACATGCCCTTTGTTTTAATGCTCATACAAAAGCTGTTCTCCAAAGCAGGGTGGGGTAGCAGAAGAGCAGGGGGACCTGTGCTTGCCTTGTCACCTGCTTGTGGTCTGACTTTGGGCAAATCATATGTCCTCCCTAAGACTCAGTTTCCTTATTTGTAAGATGGAGATAATAAACGGAACATCTCCAGAGATGTGAGAACTCAACAAAGTAATTGTAGAATTCTTTATCTAATGTCCGAGATCCTCCGAAGTTGGAAAATCCTCAACATTTTTGTTTTTAACATCAAATAGGATGTGTTACTTAAGAAGGTGGGGCCCCATTAAGACAATGCAGGGGAGGTATCTTGTAATATGAACATCTGTAGATAGACAACAGGGTCATGGCCTTCCCCTTTCCAGTGGTTTCTCTCCATGTCCTGGGGCCTAGAGCCAAGCAGCCCAGGGAAAGATTTATTTGATTTCTAGGGAATCCCTATTGCTCAATGGAATTGCTGCAGAAGGTGCTCTCCTAACTGACTAAATGGTTTAATGGATTATCTGTCAATACCCTGCAAACGCCCACAGCCCTCTGAGCATTCATATTTGGCAAACAACTGGAGTATACTTGAGCTTCTGCCCCAAGAGTTGAGGAGTCAAATACTTGCTCAACCAGAATCCACTATTTGTTTTCAAACCTGCTTACGCCTATTGTATGCTTGTTTTGTTGTTGTTGTTGTTTTTTTAATCAGAACTGTATGACTGTATGGAAGCCAAAGAAAAATTGATGAAATTAAAGTAAAAATAATTTAAAAATCTTTATGAAGGCTAAAATGGACACTTTGTTTGAGGGTAATATTGAGTTGAGGAGAGATGAAATAACTGTTAAAGCTTGGGAAAAATTATAAAAATCTGGATGTATACTGCACTCTTATTGCTTTGCAAATATCCGTAAGCTCTTACTCTACTTTAAAAAACAAATCAGAAATTAAACAGATGTGGTGGCGCATGCCTGTAATCCCAGTGGCTTGGAAAACCAAAGTTGGAGGATCACAAGTTTTGAGGCCAGCCTCATCAACTTAGCAAGGCCTTTAGCAACTTAGTGAAACCACATTTTAAAATAAAATATACAAAAGTAATAGGGATGTAGCTCAGTGATAAAGTACCTCTGGATTCAATCCTCAGCATGCGCGTGCACACACACAAACACACACACACATACATACACATCAGAAATTGAAAATCATACATAATTATTATGGAAGGCATCATCAGAGGATGGATGAATGAATGTATAGCTTAATGTTGAAGTTTGAATGAACATCTTAAAATTGAAATAAAATGCTTGTAGAATGTGTCATTTTTTAATGTTTCCATGCCTTACAGGATATCTATTTTTTTTTTTTTTTTTTGGTATGGGGCTTGAAACCAGGATCATTTAACCACTGAGCCACATTCCCAGCCCTTTTTAATATTTTATTTAGAGACAGGGTCTCACTAAGTTGCTTAGGACCTAAGCTAAAGTTACTGTGGATGGCTTTGAACTCAAGATCCAAGATCCTCCTGCCTCAGCCTCCCAAGCCACTGGGATTATAGGTGTGTCCCACCACACCTGGCAAGGTACCTATTTTTAAATTAATCCAACAACCACTGGTGTTGACTGAGTTGGTTTCTGTGGCTCGTACCTGGGACCCTCTAAGCTGACCCCCTCATACCCATTTCTTCTCCATTGGTTGACGTTCTCACTTTGCATTCCACTCAGTTGTCAACCAATGGGGAACCAAAACCAGTTCTGAGTTTAAAGCCAACTTTTTGTATACCATTTTATGCTGCCATTATTGGACCCAAGAGACAGTCACACAACATCTTATTTTGATTATCTCCTGCCTCATCAGTTACTTTGTTTTGAAGCCTGACCCCATCCCACACCCTGAAGCAGTACAAGCTGAGGAAAGAAGCACTTAAAAATCAAAACGGGTCCTGTGAAGGTGGTTAAAGAGGTGCCCATTCTGCTGTCGCTGACACTGTTAGCCACACGGAGGAAGATGCTCATGATGTCTGTCCTCAGATGTCGGCAGGCAGAGAAGGAGCCCCCTCTATTCAATCTCCATCCCCAGTACACCATCCTGTTCATCATCTTGTTGGATTCCACATCCACCAGGAAGTTTCAATGACTTGCCCAAGGCCACATTGTTTTCAAAGACAAATCTGTGACTATAACCCAAGCCCATGTCATTGTCTCATGTTGAGAGCCACAGCCGAGTAGGAATAGCCCCTGGCATTTTGCCAGAAGTAATGGTTGAGAGGCAAGCCATTAAGATGATGCTGGATTGATTCAATTGTATATAGACCCCTGCTGTCCAACTCTGGCACCAGCTACTTTGGAGTTCTCCTGGGGATTTCCTGGGGAGTTCGCATTGGTTGGTAAAGTTCTGGTGGAGGGAGTTCCAGTTGTGTGTGCCAGACAGGGGCCACGTGGGTGGCATTCAGGAGAGTTCCCGGGGAGTGTGCATGGAGTGCTGTTGGAGTTCAGGCAATAAAGTTTCCTGTTTGAACATACAAGTGCTTTGTGGCGGCTTAGTGATTTGTGCCCAGCCAGACTGCGGCAGTCTCATAGGCAAATTATTTTCTCCAACCAAACTTTAGATTCATGGCTCTCAGGTATTTTCTGGCATGGCATAGCATGATTTGTGGTCTTTCTATGTGAGAAGCCCCTCTGATTCTGACAACAGCCAAAGCCTTTTCCTTGTTGATCTGCTGAGGCAGAATTTGCTAGTTGCCTACCCCAAATCCTTTTGTGCCCTTCCTTGCTGAGTCATGGAATTCACGGCTTCTTTTGCAATGAGGTGTGGCCATTGGAGTGCTGGCCAACAAGATGTGAACAGAAGTGAGTGGAAGCTTACAGGAAAGTTCCATAGAAGATTCTTATTCAGCTGAAAGGTGCACCCTTTGCCAAGACCCCCACTCCATATATCCCTGTTTGCACTTCCTAGTGTGCAGGTGGAAGGCAGGAAGCTCCTGGAGCTATTTGTACCATTAGGTGACCTTGAAAATGGACCTAAGAGCTAAGATAGTGGGGCAGCCATGCAAGGAAGGTTCCTGGGCTCTTGGTGACCATGGAGCCTCTGCGGCCAGGAGCTGGAGAGGTGGAAGTGCTGTAGTCATTCCCGCACCCCATGGTCTAGACCCACAACCTGTGATGACAGGAGCAGCAGGTGACACTGAAGGTAATGCTTTGGGCCTCTTGGGACTGAGCCCCAAGACAGCCAGTGTGAGACCTAGGGAACAGAACACCCCACAGAGCTGGAGGGAGAGGCCTTCGTTGGCCCTGCTTCTCTGGTGACCTGGGGCACACACTGAGTCTTTGAAGCACTCAAAGTTTTCCAGCTTTGGGAGTACGAGGGCCCAGACCCCTACCCCAGGCCCTCCAGAAGTCAGAGAATGCACAGGGCTCCTGGGGGAAGCCTCAAGCAGTGCAGAGGGCGGCAGCATCAGCCAGTAAAGAACTGAGTAAGGCCCTTGACCTTGTGCAACGACCAGACAAAATGAGGAAGGGGGGCTCCTTGGAGTGTCCTGAGTCATGCAGGTAGGTCATTCAACTGGTGAGACTTGAGCTGTGATCTCAGTTATACACACAGACTAGGGAACTTTGGAGACAAGTGACATATGCAGATGACAGGGTTGGCCTAGGATGCCCACATTGTGTTATTTCAGGAAGGCTGCTTCTTTGATGGGGGTAGGGAGTAGGGGCCATTTCTTTCAGACTAACCTGCCATGGTCAAGTGCATACCACCAGTGTATGTCTTCTTTCATCTCAACTTCAAGGATGGAAACTTCTGGAGTACGAAGGTTAGAGGTCCTTTCCGGCTGGAAGAAGAAGGAGTGGATATGAGAATGGGAACCCTAGGACTGCACTGGTAGCAGGGTGTAAAGACCACCCGTAGATTACATGGGTTTTCTGTGTTAGAACAAAATTCAAGCTGACTGAATCGGCAAGATAACAAGAGCATTTTCCCCCGAGCTTTTGCTTGATTTTTCCAACTACCAACTTGATGTGATATTTTCCAGGTGAATGCTTTTCTGCATTCAGTCAGCTTATTTTAGCTTTCAGCTGTGGGGGTGTTTGATCTGCTGGCATCCTGGAAGAATCACTACTGACATCCAGGGTCCAATCAACACATCCTGTTTTTGCGAGACAGGCATTCAGAGAAACACACAATTTTGCAGGGCTGGAATGAAACTTAAGAGATCGTCTAATCCCACCCCTTCGTTTTAGAGCTCAGCAGAAGTGATTGCTGGAGGATGTCTTATGGTTAATTAAGGTGAACTCGAGAGTGGAACTCAGGATCCCCAACTTATAAACAGGAGCTGAAACATTTTATTCTGTAATTTTACAATTCGGGTTCCTATTGAATGGCCCAGATACAGTGTGTGAAGGCTGAGTTCTTGTTTTCTCTGTATTGTTCTTGGGAAAAAAAAAATTAGGCTGCTTCCTGAGGTGACTGCATTTAAGTAGGGCAGAAGAATAAGCAAAGAATCACCCTCTGGTTTCTTTACACAAGATCAAGTTCACTCCTGAAGCTTTTGCTCGCCCTTTTCCACCCTTGGAGAGCAAGTGTCCTGTGAATTACAGTGTTTTACATCTGTTGAACAAATGCATTTCACTCCTCCTTCTTGCTTTGCCTGCCTCTCTCCTCTTCCTCCCACCTTGCCCTCCTGAGTGTCCTCCCACCTGTATTTGAACTTGCAGCCTGATTTTCCTCTAGGTCTGCCCCCAGCAAAAGATCCAACAAGCCCGTTTTCCCCATCAGCACATTGTACCCTATTTGTTCTCCTCCTTCCTTTCTTTCCACCTCCCACTGAGCTTTTGCTTCGCAAATTGCAGGTCTATCACAATTAATGAAGGCATTTGTTTTCTCCAAATCAGAAGCACACCAAAATGACTGTGATTTCCAAATGAGCCTATAGTTGCACGTGAGAGCCACCGGGGTGCTGTTGATAACCTTGGGAACAGGATCCAGGAGATGCAGGAGGCTCAGATGAGACAGAGCTTTTCCTGATTGGTGCTTGCCTGCTTCCTTTCTTCCCTATTTTGAACGTGTTTGGAACTCTAAGTCAGAGCTAGTGCCTTGGTTAGACTGTGTGATCAGTATTCTGTGAGGCTGCCAAGGAAAAACCCACGCCACATGATTTTGCTGGCAGAGCAGGTGTCCTGCTTTGAGTTGTAACATAGCTGGTGAGCAATAGCTCATGAAATGACCTTCTTTTCAATTTATTAAAGGGCGAGCATTTCTTGGAAATCCATATATTTCATGGAGCTGTAAATCAAGACTGCATCGACCAGGGCCCTCTCTGAATCTATTGCTCTGACTTTGACTTTCATAGATTTGGGCATTAAGCTAATCATTTCTTCCTTTTGGTCATTAGGACCCTGTGTTTTTAAGTGCACCTCAGAACCATGATCCTGTGAATAGGGTCTATTCTCAGGTGTGACAGCTGGGTTGAGCATGGTGTGAAGTCTCCTAGTGTTCCCAGGCCAGGGACAGCTGCCTTTTGTGGGTCAAAATGTGAGAAATGCTGGGAGACCAGGTCCTGCCTTCCCATAGATAAAAAGACACATCCTCCTGGTCCTGGTCATTAACATGAGCTTGGGGTGCGGGGAACACACTTATTCCTGCATTCCTGGATCATGCCTCGTCTGTCTCAGGCTGCAGTTTTTGTTTCATGCGGATCCACCTGCAAGCTACAAAGGAAATCCAGCTGAGCTGGATGTGCCAGCACCAACCTCAGTACAAGTCTTCTCCTCCATCACTTGGTCCTGCTCCTCCCTTCCCACCGTGCACCCAGGAGGAGCATCTCCTTCCAGCACGGAGTGAGCAGGCGTACTCCGGGGATCTGTCAAAATTTCACAGGGCACTCGTGGATGACTCCAAGAAGCAGGAGTAGAAATATCCCAGGGGCTACTCTGCCCAAAGGTCCCTGAAACAATAGAGATAAATTGAAATATAATATGCATATGATGGCAGGTAACCTATCTTCCAATCAGAGCAAAGCTTACTACGAAAATGGATAGGTCTTCTTAATCCTAAAGAGGTCACCTTCATCAAGCTATTTTATGCCTCTCTAGTTTCAAAGAAAATATTTCAGGGCAATTGGTCTTGGAGGCTGAAGCCTGGGACGGCATCTACACAATGTATTACCTGGGTGCAGAGGCTACTCAAAGATACTAAGGACTTGCAGGATAAGTTCAAAATAGTTCCAGACCTGCTTCAAGAAACATAAGCTACAGGACAAGATGGACTACTAGAATAGGTCCACAGGCCCTCTGAGCAGTAAGTCAGGGTATTCTAGTTACAGTGGCCCACATGTGCCAGGCAACACAATTTCCCCCAGTTTTGAATTTTCCCTGCCAAGACATGATCCTTATGAGACAGTTCCTTACCAAAACTCACTGCCTTCAATTTCACTGAGTTCTCTAATTTCAAATGTCTTTGATTTTACTAATTGTGGGGAAAATAAGCTTAGATTATACTATGGAGTGAATTGTTTCCTCACAATTCTTACGTTGAAGCTCTAACTGCCAATGACCCATTAGGGGGATAATGAAGGTTAAATAAGTTCATAAGAGAGGATCCCTGATTGGACAAGGTTAGTGTCCTTACAGTAAGACACCAGAGCGCTCTCTCTCCAGTATGTGTGCATATAAGAAGGAGACCTTCTGAAAGCCAGGTAGAGAGCCATCACCAGAATCCAACCACACAGGGACCTTCGTCTTGGACTTCCAGCCTCCAGAACAAAGAGAAAATAAACCTCTGTTCCTTAAGCTTCCCCATCTATGATATTTTGTTATGGCAGCCTGAGCTGACTCATACACCTTACCTCAGAGAATTAATGACCATGGCGGCTACATTGGTTCTAAACTGGGGCTGAGATGGAAGCCAGGTGGACATTCCCTACCTATGTATGCCCCGTCCATGCTCCACAGGCGCACAGTGTGGTCGAGGGAGGATGATAGCAGAATATTTTCTTCCTCTATCAGCTCCAAACTAAAGAGGTAAGAGAGGAGAAGAGATTCAAGCTACCGCACTGAAGGGCCGTCGGATCAATATGTGTGTACTCCATTAAAGTTGGAGCATGGAAGCCGGGTTCTTCTCGATTCTTCTGGGAACCATTCTTTCCCTGCCTTCTTCCTTACCACACTCTCTCCAAATTCCCCAACTGAAGCCCCAAGATATCAAATGAGATATCCTGGAAACCACTCTGTGGAGGATCAGTCCGAGTGGAAGATCAAGAGGTTGAAACGATCCATTTAGCAAGAGTTAGAATTCCTCCAAACAAAAAAATTTTAAACCTACTAAGCTTATAAATTTGTACAACAGCAGGCCAAGTCAAGGAAAACCATCATCTGTTTATGAGAAAAATGATTTCCAGTCTCTTCCTTTAGTTGTGTGTGGCCACGTCTGTCCTTGTTTTCATCAGTAGCAGAATAGCTTTTCTCTTTTGACTCCCTCAGAGGGCTTTTGAGAAGATTGATCTAATCAACCCTGGGGAAATCATATTCACTCTTTTACAAATTCTTGAACTCTAAAAGTGATGGTGGTACTCACCATGTCACCATGCTGACATGAGCCCTCCAGAAGGTCACATCTAGATGCAAAGAAAGAGCACAATCTGAGTGGGATGGGGAACTGGCATCATACCTACCATGGAGCTGCAGGATTGTCTCTGCAGGTCAGGGCTGGATCCCGACTTACGTGGGGCAGGCAGAGAGGCATGGGTGTGGTGAGTCATCCGCCTTGCTGCGTGGGTTCCAAAATCAGTGACGGAGCAACTACTGTGTGTCAGACCCCATACCAGGTCCGAAGGCATGTGAAATGGGACCCATGCAAGATACTTATGCTGTGATTTTCTTCAGTGCTTAGGGTTTGGTAAGTGTACAGGAATATGCAAGTAGTAAAAAGTGATTTTTAAAAACATATTTCTTCATTTATTGCAGTGGGAAAATCTGGCCGAGGGCTTTACACATGCCAGACAAGCACTCTACCACTGAGCTACACTCTCAACCCTAAAAATGATTTTTATAATAGGCTAGTGAAAGTTACACTGGGATTTGGAATGTCCCCCTAAATCTCAAAATGTGTTAAGGGCTTAAAGAACCTTGAAGAAATGGGGCTTAGAGGAGGTTTTAAGTCCTTGGGGGCATACCCCCAAAGGGACCACTCTCATTTCTTTCTTTTTTCTTTCCTCTTCCTGGCCAGGAGGTGAAACACATGGTCTGCCATGTGGTCCTGCTATAATGTGCCACCATAGGCCCAAAGCAACAGGGCCAATTGGTCCAGAACGGAAAGCTCAAAAACTGTGAACCAAACAATCTTTTTGTCTTTGTAATTTTATTAGCCAAACTATTTGTTACAGTAATGGAAAGTTGACTCACATACCTCTAATATTTGGAATTAAAACAATAACAAGGCAGATTATTTTTATCTATAAATTCTCATTTCTTTTAGTGGGGAACAGAAATAAATATGTGATCATTTATCTCTAAATAGGCTTTTGAGAAATATTTGATGGAATTATAAAACTACTTAAAAATGAGGTAGAGCTAAATATATTTATTTGGAAAGTTGTTTAAGAGATACAGCTTTTAAAAATAAGTTCTAAAATTAACGTATTGTAAATGTGTGTGTGCCCTTATATACGGGTATGCATGTGTGTATATCTGGAAATAAATTCAATTTCATTAACAGTTTTTTTTTTTATTTGTAGACAATACCTTTATTGATTTATTTACTTTTTATGTGGTGCTGAGGATTGAACCCAGTGCCTCACACGTGTGAGGCAAGCGCTCTACCACTGAGCCACAATCCCAGCCCCCTATTAACAGTTTTAATGGAGGTTAGGAAGGTAGGGGAGATCAGAAAAACACCTTCATTTTTCATTACTTCCTACTGTTTACTATTTTTTTTATAAACATGAGTACTTTTATAATTGTGTGAAAGGGTTATACATTTTTAAACATATTTTTTGTTACTAAAGCAGTATGGATGCATAACATTTTCAAAAGACGGCTTTCCAAACAGAAGAAAATTAAAAATACCCCTAACTTCATCTACAAAGAAATAATGTTTGTTAAAACTTTGGTGTATGTCTTTCTAGTCTTTTAATCCTCTTTGCTTTAACAAAGATATAATTGCAATGTAATATTCCTTCATTATCTGATTTTTTTCCATTTAACCTTTATCATGAATATTTTCCCATGAATGCATTTCATTTACAGTATCATTATTTAATGACTATCTATTCCAATGTACTATACCCTCAGGTATTCAATCATTTTCTTTTATATTGTGCATATAGGTTGTCTCTCTTCTCTCTCTCTCTCTCTCATAAACATTGTGCTGATGCATAATCTTATAATTAAATCTCTGTGCACATTTATTATTTCTTTCAGCCAAATTTCTAGAAGTAGAATTGCCACTTACAGCTTTAGACACATCCTAAATATCAACTCGCCCTTCAGTTAGCACACAGCAATTTACCCTCTATTCAAGACTGTACATGCGCCTCTTTTCCTGCACCCTTGCCAACTTTTCACTAAAATATTTTTTCTATATATCTACTTTCAAAGAGTGTTAAGAGAACTCCCTCCCCACACTGGTACAATTTAATTTTACCGGCCAGAATATTGCACGGTAACCAAATCTGTGTTCATCGTAGTGTTTAAGAGGAAGAAATGCATAGCCTACTCTTGGGCGGCTGCAGTTCCGGTCCCTGCAGGCCATACTCCTTGATGTCACAGATGTGCACAAAGCCTTGCTGGTCAGCCAGGTAGGCGAGGGCATCTTCCGTTGTCACTGCAATGCTGCTGACCTGGGCTTTCTCTCTGGACTGAGACACACATACACACAATGGCACGTGAAATGCTGTACTTGATTGACGGTAAGGACTAGTTGCTGTGCCTGTGTTAATCCCTGAGCAAATTAGAAATGCCACGAAGACGAACAAAGCTAAGAGCTTGGAGAATGGCAGAGCTACTCTGTTGGGTGGTCTAGCATTAAAAAAAAAAAAACAAAACAAAAACAAAACCCAAGCCCGAGGGGGCCAGTTATCCAACTGGCTCCTCAACTTACAGGAGTGAAGTTTGCGATGAGGCCAGCTCCACCGAACAGCCTCCAGAAGGTGACAGAACCTGGGAGGGAGGAAATCGATAAGGAGGGATGGTTTGCTCTTTAACCCTGGTTCCTGAGCCCACCCCAGGGTGTCTCTGAGCCTGTGCTGAGAAGCCATTGCAGCCGCTGCAACCTCACAACAGGGGGAGTGGGACATCTTTTTTATTTGGTTGCTTTTGATCAATTGGGATTCTCAGCATATCCTGGGGAACAAGGTCCTTCCTCTTTGTGGATTTCTATGACTCAAAATCCTCTCCCTTCTTTACTAATCAGGGCAGGATTCTTGACAGAGGAGGGATATAGCTTCAGCTGTAGAGAAAAGTATGTCATACCACTACGACATGGTGTGATTAATGTCTTTCCACCAGGGTGTGTGAGTGTGTGCATGCATGCACACATTTATGTAACACTATGAAACTTGCCTAGTCAGAGGGATGGAATGGGGGTTTTGCGTGGTCTATCAGTTACAGTCTTGCCTGTGGTTTACATGTGGGTATATAGGTGCTAGCTTTTGTGAAATGGGGACCTCAAGTATATCAATCCTCTTGTGAGTTCCCTAAGTCACAGAATGTGGACTCCTTCTCCTCCCAGGGAAGAAGAGTGCTCTGTGTTCCTGCTCATGTAAAGCAGAGGAGATGGATGCCTCTCAGAGAGGAGGGCAGAGAGGGAACGGTAGGGGGGGGGCATCCAAGGGAACTTGATAACTATAAACCTGCTGCTGGGGGGGGGGGCTTGATTTAAAGGAAGTGGAGCTGGAGTTCCTACTCCCCACATGACTGCCTCCCTGGAGAGCAGGAATGGGGCCAGAGCTTGGGGTGTCAGCTTGAGCCCTAACAAGAGGAAAAAAGCTAATGGAGAAATAGCAGAGGCAGCACGAGGTGAGTAGTGAAGCTTAGGGACCCTTCCTCACCCAACTTAAGCCTGGAATGGACATGTCTTGGACACTGGGGCACTGCCCACCATGGGGCTCTGACCTCACCTCCTGGCCCATTGGAAATGAGGGAAGCAGCCACTGAGTCCAACCTGGCTGCCCGAGTCTTCAGGAAGGCGAGGCGAGAGACACTTGGGTCTGGGCCTGGGGGGTGAAGGAGAGCCCGTTTAGTTGATTTTGGGGCTCCCTACATAGCTCATGGCTCACTTGGGGTTCACTGTTACTCTCACACTCTCAGCCCTCTCTTAGGTGGCTGCCTGCACAGCATTTGGAAACCAAATGGAGCAAAGTGGCCTTACTGGCTAAGCACCCGACCAACCTAGATGATGGTCAAAGTCAGATGGGCAGGCTAAAAGCTCTGGTGGCCCAGGGATCCCCAACATTGCCCCAGGAACCTTGGACTTTGGGAACTTGGCCTCGCGGTGGTGGTGGGGGGAGACCTGAGACATCAGAGAAACCCATGCAGATGGGTGTTGGGGGGCTTGGCCTGGGACTCTGCAGACACCTCCCCAAAGATGCCCCTCTTCAGAGCCCCTGGCTTGGAATAATTCTGATGAACCTTTATGGCACCTACATTAACCACGGACTTTCACAGACACTCTGATGGAATATCATTCCCATCGTCAGAAGAGGAGATGGAAATTTAGACAAGTTAAAAGATTGGCTCAGGACCACAAGTCGATGTTTATTCCTTCATTTATTTTTCATCTCTATCTAAGCATGTCGTAGGGTTAAGGCATCGTGCTGGGTGGGGTGAAAAGAAGGGGAAGCAGAGATCAGAAGAAAACCAACAAGAACAAGCCCTAAGAAATGAACATATAGCCACGGGCACATGCAGCAGGGGGAGGGTCAGAGGAGGGATGTCTGGAAGGTCTGCATTTACTCTGGACCACGCCCAAGGTGGAGAAGGCCCTCCAGGAAGGCAGGTGTCGGACCTCCATCTCCACAACACAACTCAGTCCTTAGGAACTGAACCCAGCCCCACCTGCCCAGGCTTCTGCTCACCTGCTAAGTTTCAGGCACCATCCACACAGAGCCCACATCTATCCTTTTACTTCTTCTTCTTCTTTTTCTTTTCTTTTTTATTTTGGTACTGGGGACTTAACCCAGGGGTGCTTTACCACTGAGTTACATGTCCAGCCCATTTTCACTTTTCTACTTTGAGACAGGGTCTCACTAAGTTGGAGGGCCTTGCTAAGTTGCTGAGCCTGCCCTTGAACTTTTGTGATCCTCCTTTCTCAGACTCCCAAGTCGCTGGGATTACAGTCGTGGGCCACCATACCTGACTCCTTTTACTTCTTATAGAACTCAGATAATATAGAACTGAATAGAAATCCTACCATCCTACTTAGATCCAAATCTCCAAGAACTGCAAAGAAGATTGCTACTTGAACTTAAGGAGCCTGGGAAAAGAGCTCTCCTCTCTGAGGGGGCTCCAGAGACAAACTGCTGTACTGGAGGGGAAATGGATGGCCATATCCATTGTTATGCACTGTTTGTGTCCCTGCAATATTCATGGGTTGAAATCCTGATCCTCAACATAATGGTATTAGGAGATGAGGCCTTTAGCAGGGAGTGAGCTCATGAAGGTGGAGCCCTCATACATGGTTTAGTGCTTTATAAAAGAGACCTCAGAGAGCTCCCTCGTTCTCTTTCCTCATGTGGGGACACAAAAAGTCAGCAATTTGTACCTTGGAAGACAGCCCTCCCCAGAACCCAGAACCCAACCATCTTGATCTCAGATTTCCAAGTTCTAGGACTATCAGAAATAAATTTTGGTTATTTAAAATAATAAGTAGTAGTCTGTTGTGGCCGCCTGAACAGATTAAGACAGTAATTATATAAATGGCAGGATCCGTGGGTATTGCAGTTAAATACAGGAAGCGTGCCTCCATGCCCCACCTTGGTGACTCAGGTTGTTAATCATTCAACAATACTTGTTTCAGCCTGACTGCAAACTTGGCCCTGAGACGTACACTCAGGGAACCATGGTGGACACAGCTGACTCAGCCCTGCCCTCCAGGGGATGTCGATTACAATTCCAGCTAGGCACTTTCTCAACTTCTGTGATCAGGATCCCAGGCAGGGGTTATAACTCTGATCTTACAGGAGAGTCCACCATTTAGAAAGAACCACAATGTGCCCCCAAATTATATAGCTACTAATATAAGGGAGAAGATTCAAACCCAGATTTTTGCCTCCAAAGACGGTGCCCTTGACAATGCACTTCGTGGTGGTCCTCAGGGAGCTGAGTCCTCAGAGGGAGGAGGGAGGATTTCCTACATTCCTGGTGGTGTGGCTCCTGCCAGGCTCTGGGGTTCCAGTCCTTCTCTGATGCTTGAAAGAAGAGATTGCTGGTGATTTGGGCTAAGCACGGTGTCACCCTCAGTTACTGAGCTCGTAGGAGTTTTGAACTTGGGGAATCAGGTGGAAAGAAGTAGAAGAGGGCAGGTGCAGCAGACAGCCTCTCTTCCTGCCCACACTCATCCTACTGCCGGGCACAGGGGAGTGGGTGAGAGACCTGAGAGAGCTACCCAGCCAGGGTCTGGGGGAGAATTCCATTCCCTACACCTCAGCTGTCTTTATCTGTGATAAGGCGGTGACCTACTCCTCAGGGTTTTAGAGTGAAACAAAGGAGGCTCCTATGTGAATAGTCCTCCATAACCCTGCAGTGAAGGCTGGGAAGGGTTATGACCCTACAGTGCCTGGAAGTGTCACTCAACAATGGCAGCTGTTACAACTATTGTCACTTAACTCTTAGCCTCAGTTTCCTCATTTATGAAAATGGGTACAACAGGGTCAAGGTGAGCACTAAATGCGAGAAAATTTTAAAAGCATGTAGGAACATTACTGACATTTAGAGGTAGCTAACAAATAGCTTTACGTTGTTTTCCTAGATTGAAAAAAAAAAAGCCTTTGTCTCCAAGTGAACACACAGATTTCCTTCATTTTCGCCTGGTTGGTATCTCTTGATCTTTCTCTTTCACAATCGATTTTTTTTTTCTGTTTGATGTAATAGAAAAATTAACAATTCCCATTATGAGAAAGAATGAAGCTAAAAGCAGAAAAAATATGTTCTCAGCTTTGCCTTTCTCCCTTCTCTCCACTTTCCTGAGGATGGCTTCAGAAGAACCCTCCAGATGGTTTTCCATATCAGAAGGCAACCTCTTCACCAGGCCCTTGTGAGAAGGACCACTTTGTTTTGGTTCAACTTTCAAGACGAGCCAGGGCTGCTCTTTCCTGGGAAGGTATGGGACTCCATCTAGTCTCATCTCATTTTTGTAATTTTCACAATATGAGTTATTGGTGGCAATGGCTGGCTTTGCATTTGGGGGCAAAAAAAAATGATGAAGAAGAAGATTTCTTGAAACCACCAAACAGTCACATAACTTTGAGCAAAAAATGCTGCTGCAAATGGGGATTTATCTCCCAACTGCTGGCTGAAAAGTCAACATCGCATTCTTGGCCAATGACTTTATTTTCATTTTAATGGCAATGGAAATAAACCTTTGGAAAGAAATAATACCACTCTCCCCATAAAGGTCTTGAAAACTTAGACATGCTGAGAAAGAGTTTCACAGGATAACTTTTTTTGGCCAGGGGAATGTGTACTTGAAGATAAATCTACAGGTATGAATCTCTTTTTGATCTCTTGGTTTCCAGTGGCTTCAGTTTCTGACCCTTGCCCTCCAGGTGACTCTCAAGCAGGACTGAGATTGTCACACACATCTTTTTCTGAATGTAGGCCTTGAGGGTAGCACAGGCCTCAAATCTACCGACCCTTTATCTACCACAGCATTAGACCCATGAGAGCAGCTCAGGGATTTTCTGATTGAAGGACTCATTAGGACTTTTGTTTTCTTTTCTGGCTACTGTTTTAACAAATGCCCAAAGCAAAGGGATCGTGATCTGGGCTTCATGGTTTTAAAGGATTTGGTTTTTTGGGCCTTAGGAAATGTAGAAACTTTCTTATTTCATGCAAAAATTTCCAACTCCCTGTATCTCTTCTACTGGGGCTCCATGGTAGATGAGTGTCTTCAGGCTGCTTCTTTGGGAGGGTGGGCCTAGACTCTGGAGGTGGGATGGAGTAGTAGGAAGAAGGCTCACTTGGCTGTGGACTCCAGCCACTTTCCAGTCCTGCACATCCAGCAGTGAAACTGGAAGATATCTGAACCCTGCGATTGTTTCCCGTGTGTGTTTCTTAAATGGTTCAGGACTTGGAGGGACAGAGATGTGATTACCAGCCCCAAGCCCCAACACCTAGCACGGTGCCTAGTCCTTGGCAGGTGCTTATCAATATTTTTTGAATGAATAAATAAATGAATGGAAAAAACCATGATCACACTAGAGAGAGAGAGAGAGAGAGAGAGAGAGAGAGAGAGAGAAAGAGAGAGAGAGAGAGAAAATTTGAAGACAGGGAACCAGGACAGAACAATTAGGAAGAGTGGAGTGGGAGGGCGGGGAACTTTTGTATCACCCTATGCAAGCAGTAAGGACAGATCCAAGTAGGGGTGTTGTGGATCATGGGTCACCAGAAAGGACGGAAGATGGGGACAGCATAGAAGCCTGAAGACTTGCTGTTGGAAGAGGCATCCAGGGGTGAAGTCTTGGGCTGGGGGAGCAGGCTGGCCAGCCAGGTGGAAGGAGCACATGGTGAGTGGTCACAGAAAACAGAGGAAGAAAATTATGAGCTGTACCAACAACGCCTAAGGGACTCGGCATTTTCCAGGTTGACAGTGGATGAAGAAAGGACCCTGGAGGTTGGGGCTGGCTGGGAGATGGGCTTCGATGGACAGGTGCCCAGGAATGTGAGCTCAGCTAATCCAACCCTTGAGCTTCAGCTTTGGGAATCCTCATCATACCAGGCAAACTGGAAATGAGGCCAATCCCTTCTAAGTGGGAGGTGGTCCAGGATTGGGACTCTGTCAATCTGCCAGGTCGAACAGGGCAGGAGCCCATGCAGTGTGGAGGCAGAGCCTGGCCCTTCACCTACCTTCCCTATGGTTTGGCCCATCTGAGGGGCTGGGAGTGTTCAGCTTGCAGTACACATGGCCCGAGACCACATTCCAAATGATAATCTCTCCATCGTAACTGGAGGTGGCCAGAAGAAAAGGTGGGCATTGAGCCACACAGAGGATGTCCTCCTTGTGCCCATTGTTCTGAGAAAGAGAGAGAGAGAGAGGGACCGGAGTAAGATATCAAGTGCCAAATCATCCACAGCTAACTTTCCTTCATCTGTCCTGAGATGGGACACGGGGTTCTTCTTTCTGGGGCTGCCCACACCCAGGGCTCAGCTGGAACCTCCATCTCTCTGGACAGGAATCTTTCTCAAGATCATCCAGGGAGGCGCTGCCTCTCCTTAGGTGAGTTTTATCCTTTCCTTGGACCTTACCTTTCCCAGGACAGTGCTACTTCTGGGAGCTTTCGTCCCTCACCACACTGCTGGAAGGCAGATTATTGACAAGGTGCCCTCACTGGGGCTGAAATGTTGAAGGAAATGGGAAAACAGAACCCAAGCTCTGGCCTAGGTCGTTGGTTTACCATCAGCCAGAGGTCTACGTTTGTCATATGCAAGTTTGTCATGGCTTGCATATGAGGCATCTCCAAAAGCTCACATGTGAGACAATGCAAGAAAGTTCAGAGAAGAAATGATGACTGAGAGACTTAACCCAGTCAGTGAATTAATCCCCCAGTGGGATTAACTGAGTGGTAAGTGGAGGAGGTGGGACATTGGGAGCATGGCTTTGGGATATATATTTGTATCTGGCAAGTGGAGATCTCTCTCTGCTTCCTGATCATCAAGTGAGCTGCTTTCCTCCACCACACTCTTCCTCCATGACTTTCAGCTTCACCTTAAGCCCCGAAGAATGGAGTCTGCTGTCTGTGGATTGAGACCTCTGAAACCATGAGCCCCTAAATAAACTTTTCTTCCTCTACAGTTGTGCTGATCGGGTCCTTTAGTCACAGCAGTGTAAGAGCTGACTAGAACAACATTCTAGGGTTGGATTAACTGTGACTCAGTCTCTCTGGGGCTCCCATGTACCCCCCACTGTGGTTTACATATTCTGTTAGGAATTGAATCATCTGCTCCCTTCAAAAGGAGGAGCCTTGGATATGCAACCTTAAGGAAGATAAGAACCCAAAATAGATGTTTGAAGGCCAGTGCTACAGAGTCTAGAGTCCCTGGCCACAAGCATTTCACCCCTTTCCTTATGGGGCAATTACTACATGAAGGGAATTGGCTCCTCTTGATCCTATGAAGATATTATTTTACCCTTGCCCTAATGTACTTGCTACAGAGTGTCCCTTGAGGACATGTCTGTGATCACCTAAAATGCCCTTTCTGCCCCTTATGAGAAGATGGCATTGCAAAATATTGGAAAAGAGAAGACCAGTGGTCATTGCCTTCCCATGATCCTCTGCTGACAGATACCTGCTCCCACCCCACTCCTCCCCGTTTGAAACCACTTAGGTCTGGGCTCCTCTTTCTATGGCCCCTTGCCTGCGGAATAAATTTTATATAGCTGTATGGACTGAACGTCTGTATTCCTCCCAAATTCATAAGTTGAAGCCTTAATCCCCAAAGTGATAGTGTTTGGAGACAGGGCCTTTGGGAGGTCATGAGGCCGGGGTCCCCATGATGAGTTTAGTGTCAGGAAGAGACAGGCAGCTCACCCTCTCTGCCATGTGAGCACACAGAGAAGGCAGCTGTCTGCGAGGCAGGAGGAGACCTCTTAGGGATCCCAACCCTGCTGGCACCCTCATAGTGGACCTCAGCCTCCAGAACTGTGAGGAATAAATTTCTGTTGTTTCAGCCGCACAGTCTGGCATTTCGTTGAGGCAGCCCAAGCAGGCCAAGAGAATACTTTGGCATAACTTTCAAGCTCTAATTTAGTTCTTCAGCCTCATTTTCCTCCTGTACCAGATGCACCCGCCCTGCAGACTCTCCACGGTCCTTCTAAGCAACACACTGCTGTGCTTCCAGGCTTTGCTCATGATTCCCTTTCTCCCTCATTGAGATAGCCTTTCTCTACCTTGCCTGCTGGAAAAATCCTAGTAATCTTTCATACCCCCATCTGATGTGGGAGTAAAGTCAGTGGTTCCCACATCTGTGTTCCCTCAACATTTATACACTGTTACGTCCTCAGTTACATTGCGCATTCTTATTTCCAAGGAGTTGCTTATCTCCTTGCCAGTCTGTGAGATGGTTGAGGCCAGAAATCATATTTTGATTCACATTTGTGTCTTCTGTGCCTGTCCACCAGGGGCAACCCTATGCTAGTGCATAGGGTGGGGGAATGAATCTGTACTTTACTACTCACAGGTGACTTTTGCTCTTGCAGTGGTTAGGCTTCCCTGGGGCATTTTGGGCAAGGCTCTTTATCGTAACTTAATTTTCACTAATCCCAAAGCTCCAGGAAGGCAGTAACTGTGCCCGGGTTTGCTCATTACTGGGTCTTCAGTGAACAGCACACACCTGGCCCACAGGAGGCACTTAACAGATGCTGGTTGAGTGAACACATATTTACAGGGCAACTAGTATAGGACAGGCACTGGGCTAGGTTCTGGGAAGACCATAGTGAGAAGACAGATGAGGTCTCTCTCCTTGGAGTTTGTATTCTAGTGCCTTGAACTTTAGAATATTTACAGGGGACTTAAGGTAGTGGGGCACTGGCAGATATGTGGATGAGGTGGCCTTGCTTTCTTGACGCTTGTCTTATTGGCTTAGCATAATGACAATTTTGATGGAGGCCATTTGGTCCTGAGAAGATGTAGAAAACTGGAGGCATTTTGAATCCCAGTAAGATGCACAACAAGTCACAGGGGAGCAGGAATGGCACCTCCTAGGCTCTCTGGCTATCCAAGGACAGTAGAGTGGATTCAGAGAGTTTGGCCCACCAAGCACAGGCAGGAAGTGATTGGGTGCATCTTTGAGGAAAATGGTGCCCACCCCATCCTGAGCTGCTCTTCCTGCATTTCAGGACTCCCAGTTGGGCTCATGGAGAGCTGCACGGACTTTGCCCCTCTGGTCTCACACCCAAGCCTAAACATGGGGCCTTCACCCTTCCTGGAGAGGAAGTGGCTGTCTGGACCTCAGTGTTCCTGGCTCTACCTGGATGCCAACCATGAGTCCTGCCATCACAGAAGCTTCTGGGTTGCTGTGACCAACCAAGGAAGTCCCAGGAGATGCAGCAAGAGAGCTCCCAGAATGAAGAAGACCCAAGTCACGTGCCACTGTGAGGACTGAGAGTCAGACAATGGATCAAGGCTTACCAGGTCATCCTGCCAGTGTGGCTGTGGCTTCCAGAAGTGATGAAAGTCACATGGTGCATCCTGTATCCAAAGCGGAAGAGGACACATTGTACAAGCAATAAAATGAGCTGCCAACGCACTCACAATTTCAGAGAGAAGGTGTTGGCACATTTCATAACCCTACCCCTCACCCCACCGGTGATGCAGATTTTTGAAATGTCAAAGCAAATTTCCCCAGTGCCAGTGGGAATAAAAAGCAATCCACTTCCGACGTCTGGGTGATTGCATTTCAGCAAATCATATGTCAACTGACAAGCTCGCCTCAGATGGGCTGCCTAGCTTCGCCTTCATAATAAAACCCAGAGCTGTTGCACACGCTAAAACCAAAGCCATCAGCCCAGGAACCTGTAATACCAAAGGACAAATTCAATGCCAAGACTTCACAGGTAGTCATCTCTCAAATCATTCTGAGTAGGCAAGGCTTAGACTGTGAAATATAGTGCACTTTCAAATGAATAAAGAATTCAGAGTGTTTAAAGACATTCAGAAATCTATGACTACCCAGCGTAGCAAGCAGGGCAAATATAATGCCACAGGTAGATTGGAAACTTCGCTGTAGTCAGCGCTTTCAACTCCCCCTGTCTGTAAGCCCCTCCCCCACCTCTCAGCCATTAAAAAAAGAAAAAAAAAAAAAGAATGGTCTCTCTGAGAGCAGCTTATGGATGGCATTTCATTTCCTCTTTCCATTTAGTGAAAAATGGGACATAAGGACAGGAAAGGAGGAAGAGGAAGAAAAGAAAGCTGAGCAATTGACAGACTGGTTAACCTTCATTCAGGAGAGCAGGCATGCAGCTGAGACCCCGCAGACTGGGAGGAGGGACCACATGAGGTGTGAGGACGCTGGACAAGGTGTGAGGGTCAAGGTGCAGAGCTGCAGTGTTCAGGGCAGAGCCTACTTTGGATTCCCAGGACACCCTCTGTGCTCCCAAGATACCCTCTGCAGCCCCAACCGAGTTTTCTAGCTAAGCTTTTGCCCATGGAAGGAGCAACATGAGAAAAACGGGGAAACAAAGAAGGCAAAAATATTTTTAGATGCAAGAATACAGCAAAAGGAATAAAGAGAGAAAACCCTCTGTCCATGCCACAACTCAACTTGTGAAAGACAGCAAAGGCACTGCAAAATCTATAATTAAAAGAAAAAGGAGAGGGAGAGAAAGAGGGAGGGAGGGAGGGAGGAAGAGAGGGAGGGAGAGAAAGAGGAAGAGAGAGAGAGAGAGAGAGATCTGAAGGAAGACTTTGAAATATCATCATTTTTTATGTTTCACTTACAAAATACACGTTTATTCTTCTGTCCCATCCAACAGCTATGATACACCTAGGATGATAACAGAATTTCACATTTCCATCTGTTATATGTTTGATGTGAAATGAATGTTGTGCTTTAATTTAATCCATGTGATAAATGAAGACAGCAAGAATATAAGGTCTTCTAGCTCAAACTAGGTCTGTTTGCCAGTGACATGATTCTATATTTAGAAGATCCAAAAAGACTCTATATTTAGAAGACTCCACCAGAAAACTTCTAGAACTCATAAATGAATTCAGCCAAGTAGCACGATATAAAATTAACACCCGTAAATCAATGATGAGTCAGCCGAAAGAGAAATTAGGAAAACTATCCCATTTACAATAGCCCCAAAGAAATTCGGAATATATCTAAAATAGAGAGGTGAAGGACTTATATAATAAAAACTATGGAACACTAAAAAAAGGAATTGAGGAAGACCTGAGAAGATGGAAATACCTCCCATGTTCTTGGGTAGGCAGAATTAATATTGTCAAAATGTCCATCCTACCGAAAGCACGGTACAGATTCAACACAATTCCCACCAAAATTCCAGTGACATTCTTCACAGAAATAGAAACGGCAGTCATAAAATTCATTTGGGAAAATAAGAGACTCAGAATAGCCAAAGCAATCCTCAGCAAGAAAAGTGAAGCAGGAAGCATCACGATATCAGATCTTAAATCGTACTACAGAGCTACAGTAACAAGAACAGCATGGCATTGGCACCAGAAGAGGCCTGAAGACCAGTGGAACAGAATAGAGGACACAGAGACAAACACACATAAATACGTTTATCTCATACTAGAAAAAGGCTCAATGAACATTCACTGGAGAAAAGATAGCCTCTGCAACAAATGCTTCTGGGAAAACTGGAAATCCATATGTAAGAGAATGAAATTTAACCCTTGCACAAAAATCAACTCAAAGTGCATCAAAGACCTAGGCATTACACCAGAAACTGTGCACCTGCTAGAAGAAAATGTAGGCCCAATTCTCCAACATGTCAGCTTAGGAACCGACTTCCTTAACAAAACTCCTAAAGCACAAGAAGCAAAAAAAAAAAAAAAAATCAATAAATGGGATGGCATCAAACTAAAAAGCTTCTTCATAGCAAAGGAAACAATCAAGAATGTGAAGAGAGAGCCTACAGAATGGAGAAAATCTTTGCCACCTGCACCTCAGATAGGACATTAATCTCTAAGGTATACAAAGAACTCAAAAAACACAACAGCAAAAACCCCAAATAACACAATCAGTAAGTGGACAAAGGAACTGAACAAACACTTCACACAAGAAGAAACACAATCGGTTCACAAATATATGAAAAAATATTCAACCTCTCTAGCAATTAGACAAATTCAAATTAAAACTACACTGAGATTTCATCTCACTCCTGTCAGAGTGGCAATTATCAAGAATACAAGTAACAGTGAATATTGATGAGGATGTGGGGAAAAGGGTTCACTCATACATTGTTGATGGGACTGCAACTTGGTGCAGCCATTCTGTAAAGAAATATGGAGATTCCTCATAAAACTAGGCATGGAACCACCATTTATTTGGCCCAGCTATCCCATTCTTCAGTATATATCCAAAGGATTTAAAGTCAGCATACTCCAGTGACACAGCCACAACAATGTTCATAGCAGCTCAGTTTACAATAGCTAAGCTATGAAGCCAATCTAGGTGCCCGTCAATACATGAATGTATAAAGAAAATGTGATATATACACAAATGGAGTATTACTCAGCTACTAAGAATAATGACTTTATAACATTTGCCAGTAAATGGATGGCTCTGGAGACTATCATGCTAAGTGAAGTAAGCCAATCCCCCAAAACCAAAGGTTGAATATTCTTGCTGATATGTGGATGCTAACCTACAATGGGTGGGATGGGGGAGAATATAAGTTTAGTAGATTAGACTAAGGGAAATGAAGGGAAGGGAGGGGAATAGGAAAGATAGAGGAATAAATCTGACATAACTTTCCTATATACATATATGAATATGCACACGGTGAATCCCACCATCACGTACAGCCACAAGAATGAGGTCCTAATTAGAATAAGACATATTCCATGCTCGTATAATTATATCAAAATGAATTCCACTGTCATGTGTAACTAAAAAGAACCAATAAAAAAGAATCATTAAAAGAAGAATATAAGCGCTTCTGTTTCTTTTGAGAACAAGAGGAATGTGATTTGATAAATTAGGGTCTGTCTTTGAACTGGTGCTTGAAAGATCAGGAAATAGAAACAGGACATCCCATCATTTCTGAGATCAACAAAAGCTCCTTCATGCACAGCTGCCTTCCGGAGGATGACCTGATCCCCAGGGCACAGTGGATCCCTGGAGACAAGGGTATGAATGGAAACTGTCCACAAACTGCTTCACCTTGTAATGTTCAGGAGGGAATTTTTATTGAATTTTTGTTCTTTGATTTGTGGGGGTTGAATTTAATTGCTCCAGTCTCTGATTTATTCCTTCATAAAGCATTAGGTAGGGAGGTGTCGTGCTTTCTCCCTGTATTTCTAAACAGTTGTCAAAATGTGCAGAGAATTGCTCCAATGTTCCAGAAAAAGCCTTATTGCCTAAATTGGCACCAGACAGACAACCAGAGTCCTCAGAAATGTTTTGACATGTTTTCTTCTGGAAAATTCCCTGCACTGTTTTGATGTCTTCCCCTAGGACGAAATTTTAAGCCAGAAAATGATACTCCACTAAATAAAACACCTCTCCTACTACAGCTGAGTTTAACTCACTTATTTTGGTTCACCTCCATGTAGGTACAATCGCAGACTTCACTTTGTTTTTCATCTAGAAAGAAAATAATACTATTTTATAGTGAAGAGTTTTCTTATCAATTCTCGAATCAGCTGATTTCCTGATGCTGGGGGAGATTTTAGCATTGACTTTCTAGCTTCCAGATCACAGTTAAATGTCTTTGAAGTCGTTTAAGCACTGTTGGTTTATTGCTGCCCTCCTTGTCCTATGATTCTGATTCTGCCCATTGCTCAGCTATGGGAAGGGGCCAGCCTCTCCTGATAGGTCCCTAGGAGAACGTGGCGCTTCCTAGTGGAGGAACGAACAAGTAAATGAATGCACAGAAGTCACCGCAGGGCTAGAAAACACAGACTCGCGGCTTCAGTATCATGGCTTTGATCACTTTTTGTCTCTTTTACTTGGACTTCATTTATTCTCCAGTGATAGTTGAAGAATGTTTGCGTTTTATCGACATTGCAGGAAATTTCAAAGCCAGAAGCAGGGAAATTTTGCCAAGAACAGACAGAGTGAATGAATGGGTGGAGTGAGCAGCCTTGGGAAGGAGGAAATCCAACAAGATACTTGCCTATAATTTGTTAATCTAGATTTTGACTTATGGGGTTGCATCCCTATGAAGCATGAGTTCTGAGTCATGGAGTATTGTAATATGACTGAGAAAAAGGGTGTGGGGTTGGTATACAAATTCTAGATCAATCTCATTTGATTTCTTTTACATTTACAACTAATCTTGCATCCATATTTTAGGGGGACCACTTGGAATACCCCAGCATCACTTACCGTGTTTCAGGGTGTGTAGACAGTGTCCATTATTGTAGCTCCATATTTTCAGACAGCCGTCTCTGCCCCCGGTCACTAGCCTAGAAAACAGAGTGGTCCCTTAGGAGGACATGGTAGGGGTCACCTGCCCATTGGTCAACAACACTGGACAAGGCACTTACCTTCTTCCGCTGGAGTCAAAGGTCAGACAAGTAATCCCAGCATTGCCGTGAGCCCCCCAAAATTCAGACAACTGTCTTCCTGTTTCAAAGTCCCATACTTTCACTATCTGGATTTAAAAATGGGGGGAAAAATAACTGAGAGATAATGGCTATCAAAATGGAAGGGAATTTGCATTCAGAAGTTTAACATCGTAGATATAAAAGATACAAATTGACTCTGAAGGTATCTGTATTTCCAGCCCAAGTTGGCTCACCCCAGTGTATTCCTTTGCTGTGGCTGCCATGACAAAGCACCTCAGACTAGGCGGCTTCTACAATAGACATTTACTGTCTCAGTCTGAAGGCTGAGTGTTCAAGGTCCAGGTACCAGCAAGGTTGGTTTCTCTGGAGGCCTCTCTCCTTGGCTCAAAGAAGCACCTCCTTGCTGTGTCCTTATGCAGTCTTTCCTCTGTGCATGCACATATCTGGTCTCTTTCTAGGTTCCAGTCTCCTCTTAAAAGGATACTAGTCAGACTGATCCACCCTGTTGGCTTTCTTTTAACTTTGTCACTTCATTAAAGATCCTATCTCTGAAAGGGAACCTTTGCATACTGTTGGTGGGAATGAAAATCAGTACACCCATTATGACAAACAATATGTATGTTCCTTAAAAAATTAAAACCGGAACTGCCAAATGATCTAACAATGACATTACTAGGTGACTAGGTGTGTGTGTGTGTGTATATATATATATATATATATATATATATATATACACACACATTTGTATATATGTATGTATATATATATATATATATATATATATATATATATGCATAAATGAATGGACATCAGTATGTTGAAGAGACCTCTGTACTCCCATTTTACTGCAGCACTATTCATGATTGCCAAGACAAGGAATCAGCTCAAGTGTTCATTTATTGATGGATAAATAAAGAAAATGTTGTACATCTATAAAATGGAATACTATTCAGCCATAAAAAGGAATGAAATTCAATCATTTGTGACAACATGGATGGAACTGGAGATCATTATACTAAGTGAAGTAAGACAGGCACTGAAACACAAGTACCATATGATTTGTATGTGGAATCTAAAAATATAGATCTAGGAGTTGAGAGTAGAATGGTGGGTACCAAGGTTGGAGAAAAGAGAGGGAATGGAGGGATGGGGTACTGAGTTACAGTAGAATGGGTGCTGAGTTACAGTTAGAAGCAAGAAGTTCTGGAGTGCTATTGCACAGTAGGGTGACTACAGATAAGAATAATCTGATGTACGTTTCAAAAAGCTAGAAGAAAGGAGTTTGAGTGTTTTCACCAGAAAAAAAAAAAAGATACATGTTTAAAGAGATAGGTCTTTAAAATATCACATGTTGCCATATTACTATAAAAAGTTTTATGTTTTATGTCCCAGTTCAAAATAAAAAGGTAAATATGAAATAAAGGTCCTTCCTCCAAATACAGCCACATTCTGAGGGACTGGGATTAGAACTTGAACATGAACTTGAGGTTATGCAGTTCAGCCCATATCTCAGTGAGAAGTTTGGAAGATTTCAAAAGCAAGGTTACAACTCTAACCATCTAGGCTCAGAGAATATAGGCGTGCATTGAATTTTAAGGTGCAAAATTTATTCACCGTGAGGGCAAAGGTGAACAAGAAAGTGATATTTTGGGGGTGGCTACATCTTCTAAGCCCTGGGACTTACTGTGTTACTTGGTCCGATGAGTTTCAGGCTTTCAATTACTTTCCTTCAGTCCCATATTCCTCAAGAGAGCCCCAGTAGCATCTTTTGTGACTGGTTGATGTGAACGCCCCCTCAGGAAGGCTTCTCCTGGGATAGCCTTCCTGGAGACACACCCAGAGTTCTCTGACTTGCAAAATCTCTACGAGACCATGTGATTGTGGGGACAGAAATCCCAAGGGGGTGCATCTTTTCTCAGGACTAGGGAATATTCCTTCTATCCTGCCACTTTGTAGAAGAGGAAGTGCCCTTCATTGAGAGAAAGTTCTAGGTCTCCAAGCCAGAAGCCAGAAGGTGTTGTTCTCCCATTGTCTCAGGATTTTAAATGCCTGAGAACAGATTTCCAGTGGCGCACGCTTGGCTTCTTTCCCCCTGCAAGGTCGAGGTCCCTAGAGGTGCCTGCCACTCAGGTACATTCATCTCTTCCCTATAACATTGCAATAGACCCTTGGCGCAGCTGGGATTCACTTTACAGCTGTCAACCATTTGCATATAAACCAGAGTTCCACAGCCTGCATTCCTCGGTAATATGGTTGGGGACCAGACTTGAACGAAGTACCTATCAGCTGGTGGTGAGGCCTGGCTTGGAAGAATGAACCAAAGAGCCCAGGACCCACACCCAAGGGGAACCCTCCTTCTTCATCCACCTCTTGGGCCCCCATTATGCGATTAAACAGACCTATCTTTGAGAGCAAATTTTCAAAGTCCCTCAAAGGAAGCTATCTGAAAGTGAAAAGACTGGCGTGAAAAATGGAAATATCCCTCCAAATGACTTCAGAGTTTTATTTATAGAATCAAGAAAAGTCTAAAGAAAAGCCACATGTTTTCAGGTATGCCTACTTGCTCTTTCTTTGTAAGAAGAATTTCATACATAGCAGGTCCTTTGAGAATCTCATCAACCCAAGTTATTCTTCCTTTTGGAAACACCATCAAATCACACATAGTAAAATGTAACCATATCCCAAGTTATATAAAATTTTAATCTTTTATTTAAAAACTTAATTAAAATTAAATGAAAAATTTTTTGGTACTAGAACTGAACCCAGGGGTGCTTAAACACTGAGCCACATCCACATCCCTTTATATATATATATTTTTTTTGAGACAGGGTCTCAGTGAGTTGCTTAGGGTTTTGCTAAGTTGCTGAGGTTGGCTTTGATCCTCCTGCCTCAGCCTCTTGGGCTGCTAGGATTACAGATGAGCACCACCATGCATGGCTAAATAAAATTTTCATATTAAATTTTAAAATAGTTATAGTTTCAAGGTCTGTTGATGACAATTTATCTGTAACTCTTATAAACTAAGCTTCCATATCATATATATAACTATATATACATAAGTTAAGTCGTAGTTAGAATGTAATATGACATAGCATTGAATTAAACATTTATGAATTTTCGTTGTGCTGTTTTCAAACATTTTCAGAGGCACCAAAATTTGGTGGTCTTTAGTGCTTCTGCTTATATGAATGAGTGGACAAAATGTGGTATCACCATGTTCATAAATCCTGGCTCTGTGAAGATCTTGGGTTATATTCCCTACTCCATAAATGTCAAGTGTGTAACGTGGTTTAGATGCTATGGATTGTGACAGTGGCATAATGACATTACAAGGATTTCACTCAGCAACATATCCGCAAGGTGCGCACATACTGAGATCAGTAATTTAATTCACTCAGCGTTGGAGAGTTTATTACCAGCATGTGTCTACTACAATAGCTGTAAGCATATTTATATCTCAATTCAACATCTACTTACCACCTACTGCCAGGGGGAGGGATGCTTATTAAAAGCAAAGTTATTGAAAGAGGCAGCCTGCGTTCCCATAGAATTAGAAGCCTAGGCTGTAGGGTGAGGCGGGGGAGATTGAGAACTTTTCTCAGAGGAGCTGGTATTTGCCTTGAAGAAGAAGGGGGAGACACAGGGGCTCTGATCCCTGAGCTCAAGCTCCCTCACTGTCTTGCCGAAGAGGAGGCTCTCTTCTCTGAAACAATCCTGCACCATCGTGGGGGGTACTGAACATGGGTGGTCAGGAAGGGGGTGAAGGCTGCGGTGTGTGTAGGAAAAGCAGGAAAATTCTGGGGTAGACATAGAAAAGCTTGGACATGATGAGCAGGCTACTGAGGAGGTAAAATGGGGTGCTTCAGGGAGTCTCAGGAAGTTCTGATAAATATGCAAGATGAATACTCCCTGGTGGGTGTGCACCCCAAATACGCAGGAACTCCTCTTCTTTCAGATGTATTGAGACTGAGTCATTGTAAACACTTTCTGACCCACAGATCAGGTAATTTAGTTTTTTGATACTTAAAATCATAGTGATCACTCATCACCAGGCAAAAACCTGGGTGAGGTCCACAGAGTCTCTCTGGGGAGGAAATTGCAGAGTGTGGAGTGGACTGGCGGGGTGGCGTGGGCATGCACCTGAGGCCGTAATCCCTGAAGACTGGTGGGCCTGGCTCTGGAAGGAAGCAGGAAAGAAGGCGAGGCCACATGCCTTGGCCACTCACCTGTACAGCTACCCAGGTCATTGATTCAAAAAGCAACTGAACTAATACAGTCATGCGCTTCATAACTACGTTTCCATCAACCCCCTGCCCCACTGCGTGCCCAGTAGAGGTCCCATAAGATTGTAATGGAGCCGAAAAATTCCTATCTCCCACAGTGACATCATAGCTGTTGTAATGCCCTAGGGTAACACGTGACTCACATGTTTGTGGTGACACAGGTATAACAGCCCCCTGTGCCACCAGACATATAAAAGCATAGAAAATGCAATTATGTGCAGAATGTGATGCTTCTGATGATGATAAATAACTATGTTACTGGCTTCTGTATTTCTGTGCCACATTTGGTTGTTATTTTGGTGTATACTCTTATGAAAAAACTTTTGTTGTACAACAGCGTGCCAGGTGACACTGCGGCTGCCTCATTATCTCATGTTCACCACCTCTCTCAACAGCATAATTTTCTCCTGTGATTGATTTAATCTTATGATGTTTGTTCCTTGTGACCAAATAGGGGACACATCTTTGCAGGAAAAAAATAGGCGATCACACACACATACACACATATAAATGTAAACCACACAAGGCCTGGGCATATAGGAGCTCTATCATCTAGGTTTGGGCAACTATATGTTTGCACTATGATAAGATAGCCATCCCCCCTTTTCTAAGAACACATCCCGTCATTCAATGACACATGGATATATTTGGAGATTCAGAACACCAAAACATCATGCATGGAATTGGAGTGTGCCTGTACCCTCCCATTAGCACAAGGACATAAGAAGATGAATCACAGGATGTGTGTCTTTTCCTTATTCGATGAGTACTGATTGTCCCCATCTCCAGTGGGCTCATACTGTGCCACTCATCAAGGATATAGATGGTATGGTCCTTAGGGACCCTTTAGGAGGAGGGGAAGTGGACATAGAAGTCTGTCCCTACCAACACGGATTGGGGGATAGTACGGGGTTGGGTAGTCCTTGTCTTACACTATGGAAGAGAATCTCAATGAAACCATATTACCAGAATGGTCCTTCTGAATAGCTCATGCTGCAAGCCACTGGTGAAACTGCAGGCTCCTCCATCTGACTCTCCTAGGAGAATGTCTTGAGGGTACCAGATCATTCACAGAATAGAGTTAGCCTCTCCTTGTTTATTACAGAGATGGAAAATCCCCAGAACATACTGTTCAGTTCTAAGGAGAAGACACAGAGGCCGGGCCCACACCCACAAATACATTATTCCTAGAAGAGCAGGAGTGGTACTTACAGATGCTTCTGAACAGCTGACCACATGCCTGAAGGCTGAGTTGTACCCGCAACACACAACGGGTTCTTGGTGGGAAAGTGCCAGGTGGGGCTCTGGGGCAGATCTTGCTCAGGTAAAAGAGAGACAGTGAAAACCTAAGGCCACTTCATGACACAGGTACCCAGGAGGGCACATTAAGGAATAGCTACAAAGTCACTTTGAGGTCAAAATCACTTAACTGCTTAGAATCCCAATCTTATCTGTAAAATAGGGATAATGGTACCTACTTTAAAGGGTTGTTTTGAGGATTCAATGAGAAAACATAATGTCATTAGCACAAAATGGCACATATAAAATTGGGAGCAGTAAGCCACAGTAGCTGCTAAACAGGAAAACTGAGGCATGTCTCCTGTTGAAGGCAGGAGAAATGTGATTTTGTGGCATTACAGAATGGGTCTTTTCACTAATAACTCAGACCTTTCCCCCAAAAAACACATAGGGGTTATCCCACTTGTAAACCCTTGTGCCCAGAAAACAGCACTTCTTACTCACAAGGAGGAAGAGGCCAGGCAGATCCTGGGAAGCCCTGTGGCACAACTCCAAGGGTACCAGGTACAAAGGGCACATCTGAACACTCAGAGCCTTGTCCTGGGAGCCACCTTGAGGAGGTCAGAACAAAGAACAGAGAGCCCCCAGGCTTAAGTACCCTGGCCCCTTTGAACGAATTTCTTCTTTTGCAAAATGGAATCCCTTGTGGAAATTTTGTGAGAAATAAATGGGGTAAGAACATAGAAGAGTCTGGAGGGGCTTGGCACACAGAGAGCACTTATACAGAATGTCTGCGCTGCATGCCATTGTTCTGCCATCTCTCTTTATTGTCCCTCTGCTGTGTAGCCCCAAGGCACTGCTGCTGAGCCTTCCATGGATCTGAAGCCCTAGACATCATGCCCCAAAACCTCTTCAAGGAAAACTAGGATTTGGCACAAGGATGTTGAGAACCTCTCCATGAAGGGTCCCTGGGCTTGGGAAGTGAAGGTGGAAGAGGGAGGTCCATAGGGAGCCCAGGGCAAACAGAAAGTTCTGGGCCTGGCAGATAACCTCATTTCCCTTTCCAGCCTTGGGAAGAGAGAGCTACGCTCCCCACTTCACTGATGAGAGCTAAGTAACTCAATCCAGGTCACACAGCTCCTGAGTGACAGCAGGGAACGGGGCTAGGGGGTAGTGGGGGGGGACATTGTCTGGCTCCTAAGTGCTGGTGCTGAAGATGGAGGCTATGTTTGCCATGAATTGGAATTTCAGTGACTCGCTCCAAAAGAAATCAATCAAGCCGGCTGTTTGTTCTACACAGTGCTATCATGTAGAACAAACAGCAGTTTGATTGACTGAAGCTTCCGTTTGGGGCTGGTTGTTTTGGCATCTTGAGTGAAGAGCCTGAGATTGCTTCCGCGCCCAGTGGTAACAATCACTTGGCAGTTGCCCTGCCTGGGCGCTCCTGGTCCATGCAAGCCTGCTTCACCACCTCAGTGAGCAGATTTGGAAGGCCACAGACCAGAGACACACATTTTGGCCTTCTGCATGGTGTTCTGATATTGTGCAAAGGGATCACTTTTCCATAATGTGAATTCTGAACATGTGATTCGATCGCTGAGTCTAGGGAATGTCTTTGAGACTCTATGTTCACAATTCAAGGAAAAAAAATATTTGTGAGGCCACACATCATGATTTGGGGCTCAGGAAATTCAGTTACCCTGATGAGAGAGATGGGACTTGAAATATGCAAACTATGATATTTACTCGAAAAGCTTTCCTGCATCCTCATCTTGCATTACACATACGACTGACTTTAGACTCAGGATTGCTGAACACTGAGGGAGAAAGTGCCCATGAGGAATGTTTTGTTGGTGCGGCCAGAGAGGAATAACGGGGGAGTAAGAGTGGGCCACACTAGCCCCAGGAGCTGGCTGTCATGATGTCTGCACTTTTGGGATGCAGAAGGCCTGTCAGCTCTCAAAGCACAGTGTAGGTGCTGCACCCTGCTGTCCCTGCCTGCTGCAGGGTAGAGTTCCTCCCCTGCAGAGCCCGAGAGGAGGGAAGCCACTTATCCGGGGCCTGCAAGGCCTTTTAGGGCCCTCTAAGGCAGCCTTCTATGCAGGCCCTGGGGAAGGGAGCCAGGAAGTAGGACTCCAATTGTCTGATTGCTGTTGTTGTTGTTTAAACATAAGCCCCCTCTCCCCTTTGATGTCTCAGAGATCTTCATTGTGTCAGTGGGCATGGCAGGTGCAGGGAAAAGACCAGGTACCCAAAGACTGGAAGTCTAGTCCCTGCTCTGTTCCTGGCTCCCCTGTGCCGTGGGGGAAAAGCCTTCCCATTTCTAGTTTCCTGCTTGCTCATCTTCAGGGTTGGAGTTAGAGGCATAACTCCAAACTCACCAGTGAACATCTCAGCCCAGGAAGGGCAGAAAAAGACACCTGGAGCTGACTCAGTTTCAATGCTAAGTGGACTTCATGAGCGTGGAAGGGCAGGCAGGTAGGCACCTGTCTTCCTTGACAAGGCCATGTGTCCTGGCAAAGCTGTGCCAAAGAAACCAAGTGCACTTGTTTGCAAAAGAATCAAAAAGACTTGCGTCCTGAGCATTAACACTCCTGGACACCAAGGCCTTGGCCAGGGGAAGCCCACTCAGGGGCTTCTCCATACAGATCCGTCTCATGTGGGCATGTGCTGCCCTGCATGGCTGTCCCACTTTACGGGCCTGGGATATGGGGCACAGCTGAGGCCACAGTCCACAGTATTGGTGAGCTGACCAGCACCCCCAGAACTCTCTCTGCTTGGCTGACGCTGTCTTTGGTCTGGATAAGCAGCCCCTATATAATCAATTTTTGAACAATTTAATACAAAGGTGGGTGGGACAGGCCTAAGAGGTAGATCACAGACTTCTGGATAATATGAGAAGGTGGTGCTGGAGTAATTAAAGGGAAATATTCAAGAGGGCTCACCAAATACTCACTGTGAGCTACAGACCCAGGTCTGGCCTGCAGTGGGGAGGCCCCGTGGAGACCCAACAGAGTGCTAAGAGGGGGCTGACAACAGCTGGCTCTGCAGAACCCTCTGGAGAGCTGAGTGCCTGCTGCTGAGAGAACAGCTTCATACCTCATTCTGAGGTGTAAGAGTGCCACGGTGTCGGCGGCCACGCACAGAGCTCGGGGACCCGGGAGATAGAGGCAGGCTGCCAGCTCCCCCTGAATGCCGCTGGCTTTGGAGGAGGCTGTAAACAAGCAGCTGTGGGTCTCCAGATCCCAGATCTGAGGAGGAAAGGGGACAAGCAATAGAGCTTGAGTCGCCTTTTATGCTGTGTGCCCAGCTGCTGTCTGCTGGGGTGTCTGGTTTGGTCCCACCAACTCAAAACACCGCCCCAGACCCTCCCACCAAAGGAGAAGTTTTTTTGTTGCTTCTCAAGGAGGCAGAGTGAGGCCCGTGTTCCTGATCCATGCTGAAGTGACCCGAGGAGGGGGACTGTGATTTATTCCCCCTACAAGGGATGACCAGTCACATCTCTTCCCATGGACCCAACTGTCAGAGTGGAGCTGAAATCATGAATCCAATTTGTGTTACACAACTATCTTCATCCCCATTTCTTAATACAGATCCTCAAAACCAGTCACTGGACAGATATTTGGAAGACACAGGGAACAAACTTCAGGGTTGAGGACACGGGGTTTCAGAGCCTACCAAATGGCCATGGGGCCTTGGGCAAGTTCCTATCATTTTTTTTCCCTCCGTTTCTTCATCTGCAAAATGGGAAAAATAATGATAGCACTTCCCTTATACAGCTGTTGCAAGAAATTAAAAAAAAATTTAAAAACACAATGTTTACCGTCAAGGTTTAAACAAAGTAATGGTGTAACATGATTAGAATGATAACGTTATCGTCTGTCATTTATTAAGGTGGGTGTGCAAATCATGCCGTGGCTCTTGTATTATCTTAGTGTACTGTGACCTGGCAAGGTCTGTGAGAGCCGTGGGGGCTGGGGAGGAGCAGAGGGGCCAGGCATAAAACTGGGAAGATCATAATTGTCATTAAGGCAATGGTGATTCGTCAGCTAACACACATCTGATGTTATGTCGGCTGCTTTACGTGCATTTTCTTATTTACTCTGTTATAGGCTGAATTGTGTCCCTCCCAAATTTATATTTGACTAGAGTCTTATTGGGAAATGGGGTCATTGCAAATAAAATCAGTTGAGATGAGGTCCTGCTGGGCCCCTAAAACCAATATGACTGGTGTCTTTGTAAGAAGAGGGAAGTGTAGAGATGGAGAAAGTCGAGTAAAGATGAAGGCAGAGATTGGGGAGATGCATCTCTAAGCCAAAGAATGCCAGAGATCACCAGCAAGCTGCCAGAAGCTGGACAAGAGTCCTGGAACTCTCCACAGCCCCCAGGAGGAACCAACCCTATAGACACCTTGATCTCAGACTTCCAGCCTCCTTCATTGCGAGACCAGACATTTCTCGTGTTTAATCTACCCAATCTGGGGTACCTTGTTAGTCAACCCATGTTAGGTTTCTAACAGACACCTGAGAAAATCAACTTATAAAGAGAAAATGTGTATCCTGGCTCACAGTTTGGAAGGTTCTCGTCCATCATAGCTTGGCCTTGCTGTTTTTAGAACTGTGCGAGGCAGCACATCATCACAGGAGTGTGTGGTGGAACAAAAGGGAGGAAGGAGGAGGGCGGGTCCCACAATCCCCTCCACGGGCACACCCCTCCCATGATGAAAGACCTCCCACGAGGCACCCCTCTTAAAGGTTCCACCTCCTCCTATGGCATTCTGGGAACAAGAATTTAATACATGAACTATTGCTGGACACTTAGGGTCCAAACTACAGCACAGCTCTAGTAAATCCATGCTCTCATAAACCAACTCTGGGAGGCAAAGATTATCTGTTGAGTCCTAGTGAAGTTAAAGAACTCTCCCGAATTTAAAGAGTTAATAAATAGCTAAACCAGAAATCACCCGCAGGCCCAGGCCCACCGGCCTTCAGAGCAGCACAGAGAAACCCAAGGTTGAGAGAGGGTGGGATGTGGTTGGACGGGGCTTCTTTTCTCCATGGAGTTCCAGGAAGCCAGTTAGCTATGATGCAATTTAAGCCTTTACCTCCTCAACTAGTCTACACTGCTGTATTTACACTCTGTGCTTTCTTCCCATTGGTTCTCCCAGCAGTTAGCAAACGGATTACCTAAGTTCCAGCCTGTCTTTTCATCTGTACTTCTAGGCATGGCATAAAAGGGGGGAAGCTGTGCCCCCTAGGGGGTCAGCATGGGAGCCACAATGGTGACCCAAATCAAACAATCCCACAGAAAAAGGTATCCCCGAGGGCCAGCTAGTTCAAGGGGCATCCTCTCTCCTTTCTGTAATATTGGTTGGTTGGTTGAAGATGCTCATTTTCCTTGATAGAAAGGTAAGACGTGCAGCTGTTATCAGTCACTTAACGTCTCCATGGGAACCCACTTATCCGTTGATTTCTTCTCACCTCATGACATCAGTAGCTGGGGTTTGAATGTTTCTCCCAAAATGTGTGTTCCAAACTTAATCCCTAAATTAGTATGTTAATGGTACTTGGAGGTACGACTTGGGAGGTAATTAGGATTAGGCATGATCATGGGGTTCTTATAAAGCATTAGTGACTTCCTAATGAGAGAGAGAGACCCACGTTAGCATGCTTGCTCTGTCTTACCATATGATACTCTCCACCATGTTGTGCAGCAAGAAGGCCTTTATCAGATGCAAGTGCCATGCTCTTGGGCTTCCTAACCTGACAAGCATGAGCTAGGAAAACCTCTATGCTTTACAAATTATCTAATATCAAGTATTTTATTATAGCAACAGAAAATACACTAACACATAAATTTACGGAAGAAGAGATTTTGATGAGGGGCAGGAGCACATAGATAATTCTGGCGCTCAGGAACAGTTATCTCAGGTGGGAGGATGCACAAGGTTGCCTGCTAAAGTCCAAGAAGGGAAAAGTAGAGATAAACTCTTCAAACTGAAGTTGAGGTTGACTCATCAAATTGGCATCAAATCCCCAGAGGATAAAAATAGCTACCACAAATTGGCTATCACTGACTTGCCTGGTGTCTGTCCAGCATCTTCCTGTCCAGAGATTGGCCTCTCTGACTTCAGGCAAGAGACATGGCACTCACCTCTGGCCAATTTGTGTCATTCCGTCTGATTTTCCAGGATGGGCCTGTTAGTAAAACTGGAGTCTGAATGTAAATTTTAGATTATGGGCATCTCTGTTCCTTACCATTTGGAGGGAGAAAAGATTTCTGCAGTAGGAGCCAATGAGGTCAAGGTGTACCAAGAGCAGAAGAGAGAAGCACAGGCAGAGAGTATCATCTCTGCACCCTGCTGCCCAAGAGGCTGTCTGTCCAATAATCTGAGTTCAACAACCATCCAATTCTCCCTTGAAAGCTTAACCTATTTGCATTAGATGTGTCTCTCAGGCTCAAAAGAGTCTTACCTGGTAAAGCTACTCTTTGGCGAGTACGATTTCTGCATTGCCTTTTGTGAGCATGACTACCCTATGAGGTGGATCTTTCTCCCATTTTGGAGAAGATTAAGCCAATGTTCAAAATTCAGTTGCTGAGTTCAAAAGGATCCAATAATTCACCCACAGTAACATGGTTTGTGCTAGGTTTGTACTTTAAACTCAAAAGTTGCATGTCTCCAAAGCTTTCTACCCTCCATCCCCTAAATCCATAGTTCTTTATCCACAGGTGGAGTTATTGCTGGAAGATGATTTCCAAATTAAGGCATTTCCCAGTCTCCCATTCATCCAAGGGTGGTCATGGACTGGGAGAGGTGATGTGTGTCATTTCTGGCTGGGATCTAGAAGAAGAAGGTGTGCCTTCTCTGTTCTTACACCCCTGGCATGGGGATGAAGAGTCCCGAGAACCTAAGTCAGGGTGGGGCCACCAGCTGGAGGGAGCTTGTCCCTTGAGTGGGAGAAAAAGCACCCACTCACCAGGACCACTGACCACAGATTGCTGCGGAAACAAACTTCTGTTGTTTTAACCTGTAGAAAATAAGGCACTGGTTTATTCCATCCTGCTTATGCTAAGTAGTACACCATGCTAACTTCTTTTTGAGAAATAACTTTCCATCCTAATTCCAGTTGACTCAAAACAGCCCTCTTTGTGATTTTCAATGTTAGAACTACAGAAAACAACAAGTGAAAAAGAAAATCTGAATCTGTCACTTTACTCTCGTTTAGAGAGTGCCAGAAACCAGGAGACTCCTCAAATGTCTTGTGTGTCCCCATGATTTAAAGGAGTAAAATATTTGGGTTGAAAAATCAATTCAAAGAATGAGGACTATCTGATCAGGCATGCTAGAAATCTAGCTATTTGGCTCTTACTTGATTAGTTTTTATTTGATAGGAATAATATATTCTGAAATAACTTACACACCATATTTCCAAGATAGGATTTCAATATATTTTAAATACACATTGGGAAGTGATTCAATATGCCTGAATCATCACAGGCAAGATGCTAATCTTGTAATCATGAGTTTAGATTGGAAGAAAATGGAGAAGCACTAGGAAAAGAAAATAGGATAGAAGACGTGTCCCCACATACAGAATTATGATTATCTGAGGGCCGTAAGTTTGGGGGAAAAAATTTAAAAATCTCATTAAAAATATGAAGCCTCCCCACTTTGTGACTCTGGATGATGCCTTTGGATTAATTTGATTTTTCAAAATAAATCAAAAGCCAAAGTTCATAAATCTTACCATTTTAATCAAGTTTGCTCAGAAGACTGAATTGAGTTTGGGCCCTGAATGTCGCTGACTATGATCTTGACAGCTGGTTTTATTTAGAATATCTCATCATCATCATGAGATGGATTCCAAGCTCCCTATACAGGAGCCATATTGGACCCGCCCCCCCCCAGTGGAAAATCCTAGCACATCACAGGGCCCCGGCACTTGGTCTTTAGAGAGTTTTTTCCTCCTCTGTTGACTCTCATTCCCTTTGTGATCTCAGTTCCGATTCAAGGCTTCAAATTCCATCTAAATGCTAATGACTCCCAAATTTATATCTCTGGCCCTGACATCTCCCCTAGACTCAGGACGACTCTATCCAACACATCCACAATTGAGCTCCCGGTCTCCTGTCTCTCTCGCCCACCATAATCCCTGTCTCAATTTTTGGCTCAGACCCCAAGCCTTGGTGTTGATCTTGACTCTTGCCCTACTCTTTAAAAAACAGCCTTATTGAGATAGAATTGACATATCACAACACGTTGTTAAGGTGTGCTGTTCAGAGGTCTTCAGTGTATTCACAGAGTTGTGCGAGCATCACCACTACCTAATTTTTAAGCATTTTTGCCACCCTCCTCTAAAACCTTACCCATTACCAATCACCCTTATTCATACCTCATTCCAGCCTCTGCCAACTACTGAACTTCTTTCTGTCACTATGTCTTGACCTCTTCTAGACATTTCATATAAATGGAATAATATAATAGAAGGCTTGCTTTGGCTTAACACAACATCTTCAAGGTCCACCCACGTTGTAACACATATCAGTATTTTGTTGTTGTTGTTGTTAAACTTGGCCAATGTATAGATGTTCCACATTTTGTTTACTCATTCACTAGGTGATGGACATGCATTTTATTTCTTCTTCTTGGCTATTATAAACAATGCTGCTATGAGGATTCAAATATAAATATTGGTGTGAACATGTTTTCAATTCTCAGGGGTATAACCCTGGGACTAGAATTGCTGGTTACATGGCCACTCAATAATTAACATGTGGGAACTGCCAAAATGTTTTTCAAAATAATTCAAAATTTCTACTAGCAACGTGTAAGGTTTGAAATTTCTTCTCATTCTTGTCCACATTTGTTATTGTCTATATTTTGATTTTAGCCATCCTCATGGCTAATGAATCCTATGGCTAATGAGGTTGAGCATCTCGTCATCTACTTATGGCTACTTTTGAAGAAATGTTCATTCAAATCCTTTGCCCATTTTTAATTGGGTTATTTTTTTATATGGCTGAGCATTAAGAGTTCTTTATATCCTAGATGCAAGTTCCTCGTCAGATATGTGACTCACAATATTTTCCCCATTTATGTAGGTTGTCTATTCTTTTTATGAATGGTATGCCTTTTGAAGCACTGATGTTTCTAATTTTGATGAAGTCTAATGTTTTTTCTTTTGTTTCTTGTGCTTTTGGTGTCATATCCAAGAAATCATTCCCGATCCAACATCATGAAGATTTACTCATATGTTTCACTCGGAGTTTTATGGTTTTGCACTTATAGTCAGGTCTATGATCCATTTAAGCTCATTTTTACATATGGTAAGAGGCAGGAATCCAACTTTATCTTGTTCTTCTTTTTTTTTAATGTGGATAACCAACTGACCCAGCAAATTTACTGAAGAGATTATTCTTTTCCCATTGAATGGTCTTCACATTTTTGTTGTAAGTCAAATGACCATAAAGATGAGGGTTTATTTCTTGATTCCCAATTATTTCTTAACTCCCTATTGCTATACATCTACTTCATACCATCTCCACACTGTGTTATTCACTATCATTTTGTAATAAGTTTTAAAGTTGGGAAAAGTGAGTTCTTCAATTTTCTTCTTCTTCAAGTTTGTTTTGGCTATTCTGAGTTTCTTGCATTCCCATATGAATCTTAGTATTGAACCAATTTCTGGGGAAAAAAAGGCACCCAAGGTTTTGATTAAAAAATATTACATTGAATATGTTCATTGATTTGCAAAGCATTGCCATCTTAACTAGATTAAATCTTCCCATCTTTAAAACAAAATGCCTTTTCATTTATTTATGTCTTCTTTGTAATTTCTTTCCAAAGTATTTTGTAGATTTGGGAGCATAAATTTTGCATTTTGAATTCTGCATTCATTGAGATATCATATCTTGCCCTTTGATGTGCTGATATGGTTTATTACATTGATTTTCATGTATTGAACAACCCTGGCCTTCCTGGGATAAATCCTACTTGGTCCTATGATAGAAGTATTTTGATATGTTGCTGGATTCAGTTTGCTGGCATTTTGATGAGGACTTTTGCATTCATATTCACCAAAGATACTGGCTTAGAATTTTCTTGGAATGTACTTATCTGAGTCTGGCATCAGATGATGGACTGGACTCCTCGAGTGAGTTGGGAAGTCTTCTCCTTTCTCTTTCTTGGAAGTTTGTGAAGGATTGGTATGCTAATTCTTCAAAGTGTTTGGCAGAATTCACCAGTGTTTCCATCTGAGCCTAACTGTTCTTTGAGTAAATTTTTTATTACTGATAACTCTAACTCTTTACATGTTATAGGTATATTCTGATTTTTTTTCTTCTTAAGCCAGTTACTATAGCTCAGCTCTTTCTAGAAATGTGTATATTTCATCTAGGTTACCTAATGTGTTGACATTGAAATTATTCATAGTTTACCTTATGAGCCAAAGCCCTTACCCAGGACTGTGTGGCCCTTCAAACCCCCCTCCCCGTGCTACTCCATTTTTGCTTCAATCTCATGTCCTAGGTGGCTCCCACCTCCTTTTTTTTTTTCAAATAAATGTGTGGCTTGTCCCTTCATTTCTTTCAGACCTTTCCTTAAATGTCTCATTGGTGTGTTCATTCCTAATAAACCCATAGGGAACAGAAACCGAATTTTCCTGCTCTTTGTTTCCCTATTACCTGCCTTCCCCATAGCACTTGTTACCACCTGACGTATCAGTATTTCATTTTATTTTGATTATTTTCTGCATGCCTTTCTTCCACCCCAGATTGTAACCTCCATGAAATAGGACACTTGGGCTGTCTCTTTGCTGGAAGACTGCTTGATACATGGTAGTCACTCAGTAGCTTTGTTAAATGAATGATTGAATGAATGAGGCCTGTTTCTTGTGATCACAGAGAAGGCAAATCTATTGTATTAGCTTACTACAGCCACTATAACATTTCTGCCAGGAGACATAACCAACAAAAATGTATTTTCTCACAGTTATAGGGATTGGAAGTCCAAGATCAAGGTGTGTCTGCAGGATTGAGTTCTTGTGATGCTTCTGTCTTTGGCTTGCAAGATGGCAAGATGTTTGTCTTATAAGTCTATTGCTGTGACCTTATATGGCCACCTCTTGGTCTATGTTTTCCCTAATCCTCCTTTTTTATAAGGACACCAGTCATCTTGAATTAGGGCCCACTGTAATGACCTCAATTAATTTTTTAAAGGCCCTGAACCTAAATGTAGTCACATTCTAGGCACTGAGGGTTGGGATTTAAATAGATGAATTTTTGAAGGAGCCACAATTCAATCCATGGTACCCATCAATCACTTATGCTACGAGTGGTCAGCAAGCTGGCTTATATATCCACACAAAGCAGTGACATTGGTTTCCTTCCACATTCCACAGATTCACTCCAAATTCCCTCCCTCTGGCCCCAGGCAGCCCGGTAGAGAAGGTAGAAAAATCATGAAAACTTGTCCTATTCATTTAATGAGCAAGGGAAATGATGAGCAGAGAAAATCAGTGAGACTTCTTTTGTATAAAAAAAAAAAGAGTACGTTACAAAGGCTGTACAATAACCAAACTTTAGAGGTCAACAGGATCTTTGGTATAAAGAGAGATGTGCAGGCAAACAAAATGAAGCAGCAATGTTACCATTCTAAGGCCGAGAGGTGACTTTTGGAATGGGTACGCTTGCCCTGTGGGTATTAAAAAATAAGAGACAACCACTGGTGGCAAAGGGCTGCTGTATCCCTAAGGTTCCTGTTCCATTCCCAGCTCCCCTTGTCTGTCCTCTAAACACTCAGGGAATACTCGGGACACGGAATATTTGAAGTGTGCAAGCAGGGGCCTAAATTCTGGAAGGTCTACTCACCCCAACACTGAACACCAGGCCTCCCTGAGCCTTCAATTGCTGGCATAACCTCCCTTGCCAGGGCAGACTCACACACATAAGCACCACGTGAGCGTTTACCCAGGCAGAGGCCCCTCATGCTGTCAAAGAGGGCAAGGTAACCATGAAAAAAAAAATCACCTCTCTGCTGAACCTGGCTTAGAGGACACATGCAACAAAATACAGAAAGGAAAGACCTTGACTGTGTTGTCCGTGGACATGGAGAATATTTTGTTATCCTCTGAAGATAAGTGGATATAGATCACCGGAGCCGTGTGGCTTCTCAGCAGACCTGTTGGTTTTCTAGAATGAAAACAGAACAGATGAACACAAAGCAGTTCTGTCTGCTATTTCTAAATAAAAATGCAAAACTAAACTTGGCCCAGATCTGGCAGTTCTATTCAGCCTGGAAGAGGGTTATGTTTCCCTCTGAAATTGCACAAGTACATATCTTGTGAGATAAAAGGACTGAAGCAAATAATACCCAGTGATAGTGACAGGGCTCGTGGTGAGATGAAGCCCTGCGCCTCATTTCTCCCTCTGTTAACAATAACACTATAAAAGGAACACGCGAGGAACTGTCCAAGGTGGGGATGGAACGGATTCCGTGGTAGGTGGTGGCTTTCTGTAGGCTGGAGAGAACAGCATTAAAACCTGGGTGGAAGGGCTTTGTAATAGGAGGGATCACAGTGTCCTTGGAGGATCTCAGGGCTGGGTCCCATGAGAGGGTGAGGAGGTGGGGAGAAGAGAGGAAGGACAGGGGTTCAGGAGGGAGAGCATAACATAACCAAGTGAGGAAGCAAACTGTTCTCAATTGCCAGACAAATGGGAACCTAAGGTAACAGAAGTAGATGGACAATGATTTTTCTTTCTTGTTATGTCTCTGACATTGTGCTGAGGGTTTTATGTGGATCATCTCATTTTTTTTTGATTTTCATTATTGTTCTAGGAGGTGGGTCCTTTAGTGATCACCACTGTAGAGGAGGAAATGGCAGCTGTAGCTCTTGGTCAGCATTGCTTGGCCAGGAAGTGAGGCACCAGCTGAGCCCACATGCTCAATTGCTGCTTGGCACCAACTTGGGTGTCTCTGCATGACTGAAGGGCACAGGGTCACCTGCGGATCCCTGAAGATGCCTGGGAGATTGGCTAGGCCAGGAATCCTGGCATGTCCCACGTGACTTGTGCTCATCCCTGAATCTCCACTGCCCAGCACAGGAGAACCAGCTCCCCATCTCCCAGTCTCCATCTTCAACTCCTCTCAGTGGGAATGACAAACCTGCCTTTGACCCTTTACTCTGCCATTACTTGCAAGAAGTCATTTAATTTCTCTGGGCTCCAGTTTCTTCATTTGTAAATGGGCTTGATGTGAGGATCAGAGAGGCTGTATGTGCTGTATGGTACCCAGTACAGAGTAGGTGTTTAATAAAATGGTCTTTTTTGTTGTTATCAAGAAAGTGCTCCCTAGGGTCTACCATGAAAGGTATGTATCTGATTCTAGGGTGTAATGATCACCACTGAGGGGGAGAGGGGAAGGTACCTTCAATGGTCACACTGTTCACTCCCTAAATTCCAGGCTTCCCAGAACAACTCTCATTTCTTATGTCAATTATACTTGCCTTTCATGTCAATTCTGCTGTGCCTGAGGGGTGCTACCATTAATTCTGTAGAGCCATTAAATCTGACAGGGCTAAACAACCTCTGTGGAGAACTGAGTGTACACTTGGGGGCTGAGTAAGGTGCACTAAAAACATCCATTACACATCAAAATCCCTAATAGCTCTCTGTGACCAAGAGGGTGATGGGTTCATGGTAGGGCAGGCAGCAATGTGATTAAAGGGACCCGCTGAGATGCAGGTGAACGGTAGCTCCACACAGTCTCTCTGTCCTTGTAAGGTATTTACATTTTTAAATGACTTGAAATGAACTCCCCCAGCCCCCCAAAATAATCCCTTTACAGGCTACAGAAAGAAGTTTCCCAGACGGTGTGTAAGGGGTATTAATTTTGGTCAGAGGTTCTTAAGTCATTCTAATAGGGAATCCCCAGTCCTGCTTCCAATTATCTTCCTACACCGATGGCCCTCTTGATGAGAGAAAGACAACTTACCCAGGCAGATGAGGATTCCAGACTCGAATTATTTGATCCAGGCCACCTGTCAGCAATAAGTTCTTTCTCCTGCAGAAGAAGAATGCCTTCACTCCTTTATGGATACGAAAAACTGTTTGATCATATTCTGCTCGCCTCGGGGGCAGAGCAAGGGATGCGTGGCCTTTTCTTGTCTTGACATCTTTCCTAACGTTCCTTATCTCTTTCATCTTTTGCTTGACATTTGTTGTTCCCACTGTGCACCCTGGAAATATTCACAGAAAAGCAAAACACAGTTTCTTAATAAGATCAGTCAATTTCCCGACAGGGTTGCTGATCACTAAAAGGTCCCTGATTCATTTTCAACAACAACAACGGGTATTTTCTTCTTCCTCCACCTCCAGGTGTTAACTACAGATAGTCTGAAGAAGAAAAGCGGTGTGTGTGAGAAAAGTAAGATTTCCCCCCTCCTTTCCTAAAGAGAGACAAGAAGAGTCACCTGGGAACAGAGGTAGCATGAAGGCCATCCTATTTGGAGGAAACCCAGCACCAACAAGGATCTTATTTGATCTGAACACAGACTCACTCATTCAAACACATTTACCTCCGTCTTAGGGGTGAGAAAACGTATATGGAGAAGTTAAGAGACTTGTCATGGAGGGAATGGAGCAAGCATCAAATTCAGCACTGACTCGGACATTGGGACTCATCCAGTTGACTTATCAGTTCCATAATCAACCAGAAAATTTTGTCCTACAATTGACAGATATTTTCAGCCAAATATTCATCGGTTTATGAATCTTCTGAACAATAGAATCATAATGGTCACATCATTTAGAAGCGATTAGTGGTCCTCTCATAGGTTTCAGACATGGGTTTCACCAGAAAATCAATGAAAGAAATCCTCGATACATTCACCAGAGCCTCTCCTATCCCTACCGCCTGGCTTACCCTGATCACCAACCTCAACCATGTCCAAGGGCCCTTGGAGGAAGGACAAAGAATCGTCTTCAGCTTCCACTTCCTATCCTCCAAGTAAGAACTTTCTTTTGTTGCTCATGACCTAATTTATGAGTTGAAGGATAGTTTTGTTTGAGATCTCTGCCTGTTACCCCAAGTTATGAGTCCAACTATTTTCCCAGAATTAGAGAGAGGAATTTGCAATTCAAATAAGTTCCACTAAGGCAAGTGCATGCTTTATCTGCAAGATCATGTGGTGCTCTATTCACTTGACCTTTGTCCTGTAGAACTCTAACATGGGCCTTATAATTTTGGGGGGCTGTGAATGTAGCACATGCAGGGCTCTGGGTTTGAGCCTCAGGACCACATACACAAACCACACATACACACACACACATACACACAAATTAACAACAAAAAAGACCTTATAACCTTTCAAGAGAAGTGGGAAATCTTCATTTTACTTGGAAATTTCCAGGATTTAGAATGTCAGTATCAGTTTCCAAACATGTTTTAAATAGTCTGCTTGTTGGTGGCTCCTTTAGCCCACTTGTTATGATTTGGGCGTGAGGTTTCCCCCAAGCTCAAGTGTGAGACAATGCAAGAAGGTTTTGAGGAGAAATGATTGGGTTATGAGAGTCCCAATCAGTGCATTAGTTTGCTGATAGGGATTAACTGAGTGGTAGCTGAAGGCGGGTAGGGTGTGGCTGGAGGAGCTGGGTCCCTGGGTGAGTGCCTCTGGGGAATATATTTCATATCTGGCCAGTGGAGTCTCTCTCTCTGCTTCCTGTTCATCATGTGAGCTGCTTCCTTCTGCCACACTCTTCCGCCCTGTTGTTCTGCCTCACCTGAGGAATGCAGCTGGCTGTTTATGGACTGAGTCCTCTGAAACCGTGAGCCCCCAAATAAACTGATCCTCCTCTAATTGTTCTTGTCAGATTTTTAAGTCACAGCAGCAAAAAAAGCTGACTACAACACCACTGCTGCCTCTGGGGACCCCTTGTTTTAGGGGCACGTCCTGCAGTGGAGTTCAGAGACACGTCCAGGAAGCGGGAGGGGCACTCATCATCTTTTGACTTCTCCTGAGCTCTCTCGTTTTGAGGGGCCCAAAGCCCTGATGTTGAGAGTGGCTGCCCTCCACTGAAGGAGTACCACTAGAGAACATGGGATCATTTTCCCAATGACGAGATATATAATTTCCTCATTATTTGAAGCTGTAATCTGAGTTCTGGGCCACTTCTGGACAATCCGTGGACAGTGAATTGAGGTGACAACCCTGCTCTGCATGTGTCTTTCCATAGTGGTGTAGAGAGGCTGGCTTGTCACTCTGGCTCTGTCCTTCCCCCGCCCCCTCCTTGAACATGCAGTAGGAAGGTAGATGGCCTTGAACTGGCAACTCTTCAGCCACCAGGTGGAGGGGAGAGATGGTATTTCGTGAGTGTAGATATTTACAGGAGATGATAGAATGAGCTGAAGAATCTGGGTGAGCACTTTTAAGGTCAAAGCGATGCAGCAAACCTGCCTCAAACAGCAGTTTGACACATTCATCCTTCGTGTTGTGAACAGAGATCTGAAACTTCTAAGCAGGTGTGTCACTTTATTTTTATTTTAGTTTTTTTTTTTCAAGTAAAGGGGAGAGCAGCCGGTTCATTTGCATGATCGCTAGCAGTTCTTTTCCAACAGAGCCAGACAGAGATACACGTTTTAAGTGGTTGTCATGGAAACCAGAGTGCATAGCTCTTCTCCAAGGACTGAAAGAAGGATGATGAAAAGTGTAAGTAATCTCCATGGAAACCTGGAGCGGATTCCAGGCGGGTTCAGATCCCAGCACACTAACTGGCAGGTAAGTCTTCAGGCACTGAGGTCGTGGTGGAAGTTTAATTCAGACTATCCACTATGGCTTTTGCCATCAGAGGTGGTCCAGAGGCCACCTCCACAGTTGTGGGCTCAGAGCATTCCCCAGAGTTGGCAGCTGGGTGTGTGTGTGTGCCCTGAAGCTCAGGATTTCACTCTTCCTGATTCAACCTGGATTCTGTGGCCAGGCTTGCCCACCTTTACCTGATGCTTTTCTCTACCAATTTCTCAGTATGGCAAGAGCTCATGGATTTGGAGTCACAAAATTGAGCCAGTTTCTTATTTGCAGGAGGCAAGACACTCAAGGTCCAGCTGGGGTTTCTGTGGCCTTGACCAAGATGCATCCTCTTTGCATATTCATTAATAGCAAAAATGAAGCCAGAGATTTCTCTCTTAAATAAAGAAAGGCAAAGTCAAGCACTTCCTAACTGCAGAGCTCTTGAGGCAATTGTTGGTCTTTGTATGATGGTTTTCCTCCTTGGCCAAGGTAAGTCTTCTTGGGAATAAGTGGCTGACTGTGAGTCAGGTTTTGAAGTCCAGAAGTATGTCATGGTGGATCTCCAAGGTGTTGTGAGGAGCTCTTGCCCAAAGTGGAGATGAGAACTATTCAAGGGGAGTCTCAGGAATGGGGGAAATTCCCTCCTTGTTTCCTAAGTAATGATTCTCTGGAAGCCACTTTGGGGTGAGGGTTGGTGCTAGGGCCCACAGTGGACACACACCCTGACCACAGCAGTCATGTGGTCATGGGGAACCGAGGAGACATGCCGGAGGTAGGGGAGTGGGGAGCTATCAGGAGAAAGGCACAGGAGGAAAACATCGAACACACTTGTTCCTACCGTCCTACTGTATCGTCCTCTGGTTCTCCTGGAACGGACACTACAGAGCACTCTTGGGAGAGAGGTCAGTGTGAGTCTGAATTCTGAACTTCACAAATACATTCATTCAGTAAATATTTATCGAGCACCTAGTAGGTGCCACGCACTATTCTAAGCCCTTGTGGCACAACAGTGAACACAGCACTCACGAATCCCTGCCTCTAGGGGAAGACAGGCCATGAGAACCAAACACAGTGGGTGAAGTATAGAGGCTGTCTGAATTACAGAGTCTGATTAGAGGAAAGGATTTAAATCAGGGCAGAACAAGGCAAGGAAGTTGGGGTGGACTTTCCCAGCATATAATAAATCAGGCAAAGACTTGGAAAAGGTGTAGGAGTGAGATCTGTGGACATTTGTGGAGAACCTTCCAGGTAGAGGGGAGCATTCATGAAGGTCGGTGGGACGAGAGGGGGAGGGGAAAGAGGATGAGGCCACAGTGATAAGGTGTGGGGTAAAGAAAGGGCTGGGGACCAGGAGACTTTGGCTTTTACTGAGTGAGATAGGGGCCTACAGCAGGATCTGCAGAGGTCTGACTCCTAATTTTATGAGGTCTCTCTTGCTGATGTGCAGAAAATAGATGGAATCCAGGAGACCATCTAGGAGACTCTCTCGGTAACGCAGGGAAGAAAAGACAGTGATTCTTACTGAGTGGTAGAAGTGGGGCTGGTGAGAAGTGGCCCCATGTGAGGTGTACTATGAACACAGAGCCAGTAGGTTGGAGGTGGGTTTTGAGAGGAGTCGTGGTTTTGTCCTGAGCAACTGGAAAGATGGACTTAGTATCAACTGAGATCGGGAAGATGGTGGAACAGGTGTGCAGAAAAGATCTGGATTCAGGTTTGGACTTAATTTTGATCTCCATTATCTATCCTAGTGAAGATGTCCATTAGTGAGCCAGGGCAGTTGGAAATGCCAGAAAGAACTGGGATAGAAATAAAAATTTGGGAGTGGACAGCATACAGTGGAATTGGAAGGGATCACCAAGGGAATGACGCAGACGTGGAGGAGATGACCAAGAACTAAACTCTTGGGGCTCCAACATTAAATCAGACAGATGTGGAGGAACAAGCAAGAGAGAAAGGATTGGGATCTTGAAGCCAAGTGAGAGAAGTTCATTCAGGAAGCCAGAGTGGTCAGTTGCTTCAAATGTAGAAAGAGAAAATGAGATGAATATTGGTCAGTGGAATCGGCAACATGACAGGCATTGTGGCCCCTTATACAAGTGGTTTAGGTGCTTGGTCTTGGGGACCAAGGCCAGGTTGGAGGGTTCTTAGCGAGAATGGGAGGGTAAGAATTGGAAAAGCAAGTACAGGTAACTTTTCTCAGAAGTTTCACTCCAGAGGCTCTCTGAACTTTCACATTCTCATCTTACTGTTATGGTTGGCACATTATAAATACCAAATAAAAATCATTAGATTGATATAGATGTGGGGGCTGATCCTTTGATTATATGGATATCTAGCTATTAAGAGAGATTTAATTGGTGAAATCATAGTAGTTTAGAGCTATAAGCAATTCTAGTGGCTTCCTTTTCTGTGATGTGAGGAAGGATGGACAGGACTCTTAGCATAATGAGGCCTCTGAATCTGAGCTGGAAGGATCTATAGAACTTGTATCCAACTTTCTTGTTGTATTAGTCTGTTTTCTATTGCTATAACAAAACACCTGAAGCTGGGTACTTAGCAAGTAAAGAGGTTTATTTAGTTTACAGTATTGGAGGCTGAAAACCCAAGATTGGGTATCCGTCTGCACAACCTCTGATGAAGGATCTGTTGGGCTGCATTACAACATAGCAGGTAACATCATGGAGGGAGCCCATGTGAGAGAGATTGCATGGAGAGACAGGAAGCCAGAGAATAGGGAAGGGCCAAGCTTGCTCTTTTTATAAGAATCTACTCTCTCGGAACGAACCAGGGTCTCACAAGAGCTACATTATTTCCTTGCAAGGATTAGTGCCCTCAATAGCCTAACCAGTTTCACCAGGCCACACCTCAAAAGTTCCGTGATCTCTTAGTACTGTGACACTGGGGCCAAGCCTCTCCCATGTGAACTTTTGGGGCATAAATTCAAATAATATCCAAACCTTAGCACATATTGAACTGGAGGGGAAATGGAGGTTCCACATCACAGTTTTGTTAGTAGCCGAGCCACAGTTAAAACTCCCTGTTCCTTGTTCTAGAGTCATTGCTTTTGATCTGCTCAAATACTGAATTTTGAGCTATTTCAATCTCCAAAGGCTATTTCGGTTTCTTAGAATTCATATTCATTATTGTTCTAGAAAGCCAAATTTCCTAGTTCCGAGAAAGTCTAATGGAAGTTCCCAAGAAACTGAAGCACTGTACCTCTTTTTTCCTAATACTTTGGTGATTTAAATGTCAGTGTATCAGAAATTTATAAAGGAAACTTTCCTTGAAAGATAATGTGAGCTCTTGGGCTATGAAAGGGCCTCGGGGAAGATTCCTAGCAAGAAAGAAGCAAGATGGTATTTCATACTAGGCTGAGACCTTGGCACAAGTCTTTATTGATTTTCCATGATGTTCAGTGGCAAGTGGAATTAGATTTTTCAAGGATAAAAGAAGGGGGAAACTAGAATTTCAGTCTTCCCAAAGGCTCAGAAATGTTCAGGCACAGTGAGGCTAGAAGACATCAAAAAAAGGAGAAGCTTACATTGTTCCGTGGGTGGCTGACTTCTGAGTTGCTGTAAGTGTATTAAATGTTTTATGCATCCCCGATGCACCGCTGGTGAGCTCCAACCAGCTCTTAATTAAAGTCCAGAGGTGGGACTGAGGGTGGAGCATGGGAGGAGGGAGAGATATTAGTTAGCATGTGTCACTTAACAGCAGGGATAAGTTCTAAGAGATGCTTCCTCAGGCATTTCATTATTGGGTGAACACCATAGAGTGTGTAGGTCACTCACAGGACTTCTTATATGATCAAGAAATGATAGGCAAACACAGATGCATAAGCCTGTTCCCAAGAGAACCCAGCATACCGTTCACAGTCAATTTTTCTTATAAGTGCAAGGAGTAACTTCTAAAATAACAAGACAGAGTATAGTGTACATACATGAAATGTAACACAGCATTTACTATCATTATCAAATATTCTGTACTGGGCACAATTGCATGTTCTGCCTTTTTTATACAGCTGGCCGTGAAGTAGGTTTTGTTTACACTGGTATTGCCGCCTGAGTACTGTATTGCACTATGACATCATGGCAGCTATCATGTCACTAGGCAACAGGAATTTTTGAGCTCTATTATAATCTTCAAAAACCACTATTGTGTATGCAGCCTGTTCTCGACTAGAATCTTGTACTGTGGCACGTGGCCGCCTACAACTCTGACACTTCTTGATTATCCCTCTGCCCCATCAGGTGGGCCTGTAAGAGCAGCAGACAGGAGAGTCTGCTGTCTCTGACTCTGATTCAGGGTATTTGGGTATTCATGGATTCCTTTCTTAAGCTGCTGCTGCTTAAGGTACGTAGGGAATCCATGCAGAGATCCTGGGCATATTCTATTGGCAATAAACTTCTCGATGCCCTGGGAATAAATGATTCCATTATTTACCCCCCCTCAGGTTACAGCCAAGGTGAGAAGCTGTCCCAGAACAGGTCCCAGGATGTGAAGGGCTTTACAAACCCAACTGTAGGGAATGGCAGTGGTACATTGGCTTTGGAGTCAGAAAAATCAGAGCCCAGTCCCTTTGGGACTCTTGTACCTAAGTGACCTGGTGAGCAAGCTTACCTAAGCTTATGTGTCCTCATCTATAAAATATGTTTACATAGAATTCACACCTTCCCTGACCACTGTGAAGATCAAATAGCGTCATGCCTGTGATTGGCTCGTGATCTTTGCTGCAAAATAAAGTCACATCTAAAAATGCAGATGCCTGGGCAGTCTCTCTTTGAAAAAGAGGTTTTTACTTTTAGCTGCATATTGGAATCACCTGCAGAAATTTTTAAAAGCTGCAATGCCCAGGCTTCATCTCACACCAATTAAATCAGAATCTCCGAGGGTAAAACCCAAGGTAAGCAGATTTTACAAAGTCTCCCAGGTGATTCCAATGGGTACCCCAAACTGAGAACCACTGGCAAATATCCAATATGAAAATTAGTGTAAATGAGTAAGTGCCAAACACATGTAAGTTATCATCATCTGTATCAACTTGAACATTAAATATGATGATGGTGACGTTGAATAATTGGAAGGGGCTTTCCAATATAACCTCGAGGCCTTCACAGAATAATTATGAAGTTTAATGAAGTAAGTATGAAGAGTTAAGAAGGTCTTCAAGGGGTGGGTTATTAACAAATGTTAGTACGTCGTTGTGGGGAAAGAATCTTTCTTGGGCTTTGAGGGGCACACAATTCACCACAGTCCTTTTCAATGCAGACTCTGATTCAGTCGTTCTGGGAAGAAGCCTAAGACTCTGAATTTCCAACACACTCCTAAGCAATTCCCTGGCTATGGGTCTGAGGGTTAGAAGGAAAGGCTTTGGGCACAGCCTGGATTCCAGCCTTGGCTCCGTTCTGAGTTGTGTGACACAGGGTAGTAGTCATTCTCTACTTTTTTGGCCATTAGTAAACCTCCCCTCCCAGTTCCTGCTTGGAGATCAGGTCTTCCCTCACTCTGATGCTATAATTTTAATGAGTACTGCCAGGTTCTGATGGCCCCTGCTCTTCCTGGGTTGGCTGGATCATGATTGTCCCAACAATGGGCCAATCTATTTTAATAAGACACTTCCCAAGTTGGCTGGACTGGGGACCAAGAGTGTCAGTCAGTCCCCAGTCTCTGTTGGTGGCAAAGCTATGTGAGACATGGGCTCACTACCCTCCAAGGGGTCTGGTGTACAGATGAGACTTTATGAGATGGAGAAGCATTTGAGTCTCTGTTCCCAGGATTTCCCAGTGAGGAGCTGCTTTGTTTTCCTGTTCTTCCTGTGTTGCCTGAGCCACCCCCAGGATTCTGCTTTCTGCTTCCATCAGTTTGAGTTGAACTTCTTTAAGTGCAGTTATAAAGATCTCTGACCAATCGCCTGGTTATTCTGTGCTTTAGCCCACTCATCTCTAAGATGGGGCAAGCAGCGAGGTGTAAACCATAGGTTGTAACGGTGGTTAAACAGGGCCATACATGTAAGGCACTTAAGGCAGAGCCTGACCTTAGGGAAGTGTTCCAGTTGGGAAGCTCCAGGCAGGCAGAAGACTGCATCTACTGCAGACCATGAGCTGATACCCTGGGACTCGTCCATCATAAAGGGAGTGGATTCCTGATTCATATTTGGGTCAGTCAGCCAGGTGTGGTAGCACATGCCTGTAATCCCAGTGACTTAGGAGGCTGAGGCAGGAGGATCCCAAGTTCAAAGCCAGCCTCAGCAAAAGCAAAGCACTAAGCAACTCATTGAGACACTGTCTCTAGATTAAAATACAAAATAGGGCTGGGATGTGGCTCAGTGGTTGAGTGCCCCTGAATAAATCCCCAGTATGCCCCCCCCCAAAAAAAATTTGGGGTCAGCCAGACCTCTCCAAGTCTATCCAATGCTGGATGTATGTCTTCAGTCTAGTCCACACAAAATAACTCCCCCATAAATAGCACAGACACCCCTACACCATAAACCCAAGATCAGCTTGGTCAAGTTCATGCCCAGATTTGCTGTTTATTAGGGACTATGGTTTGAATGTGTTTCCCCAAAGTTCATGTGTTAGAAACTTACTTCACTGGGCAGCAGTATTGGGAGGTGGGGCCTAAAGGGAGGTGTTTAGGTCATGAGGGCTCCACCCATAGGTATGGGTTAGTTTTCATGGGAATGATTGTTACAAAATTGAACACTTCCAAACGTACTCACTTGTCTGTTCACATTTCCATCGTGAGATCATGCTGTGTGAGAGCCATCTTCAGATGCTGACACCATGTCCTTGGACTGCCCAGCCCCAGAATCATAACCCAGATAAAACTCTTTTCTTTATAAGTTACTCTAGTCTGTGGTGTTCAGTTACAACAGCAAATGACTAAGATACTGGGGTCATCCCCTAAGATTGAGAGATGTATTGGGAGATGGGTATTCCCTTGGCCTTTCTTGGATTTCACTTGGTCTATGTCCAGCTTCTAGAAACTACCCATGCTGGATCTTCCCACCTTTAGAATTCCTTAAAAGTCCCTAATCCTACAAATGCCCCATTTCAACAGTTTCATACGGATATCATTATATATTCAATACCATGTAGCACATTAGAGGTGCTCACACAGTAGAGCCTGGCATTGCTTAGAGTGGATTTTGCTTATTTCAACACATACTGACGGAGCTCTTGGTGTATGCAAATTCAGTGCCAGGCATGCTGTCCCTCACTGCCTCTCCAGCAGCCCCAGGGCATGAGGCTCATGAAATTAAAAACACACTCAGCTGCGGAGGAGGCCTAATGTTTGAATGGCATCAGGAGTTACTAGCAGGGTGCCGGATGCCCACAGCAATACAGAAAAGAAAAGGTGGGAGGCCTCCAGAGATTCACGACCCAGAGAGAGAACAACTGCAATCATGATAGGAGCGTCCGTAGTACCTATTACCAGAGCTGTGGGCTCGTGGTTGGAGCTGGAAATGACAGCTTTCAGAGAATCACAGTAGTTCAGCTAAAAGAAAAAAAAAAAGTGAGAAAACACTAATTAAAACAAGATCACGCGCCAGGTCAGTAAGAGTTTCTAATAATGTTTAAAGCATTCTTCCAAAACATATTTCATGAAGGAACCACTGTGCGGAGGATAGGAAAAAAAAAAATTCAAGCACCCATGTGTGTTCCTGGGGTAGTGCAGTGTGTACGGTGGTCCCTTCCCTCCAAACTGCTCTAGGCTAACACCAGAACAAGCAATTCCTGAGCACCCTGTCTGCTGCAGCTCCTATTGCCTATTTTAGACTTTTCCGAGAAAAGCTGAATGCTGCCTGCAGAGCTACAGGGGGTTTTACAGAGAAAACAATTTGTTTCCCTAGAAATCATCTTTAAATTGGAAGCAATACTGAATAGATCCTGGGAGGCATCGGCTCTTCCCCTGTCTTTGAGAACTAAGAATGGGGTCCTGAGATAGGTGTGTGGGGACTGGGTAACCAGGGTTTTGGGGTAGGACCCAAAAGGTCAATCTTAGGTACAAGGAATGAGATTTGGAGGGATTTGAGTTCTCCTCTCAGGCCACCTTCCACGGAAGAAGTCCTAATTCAGAATCTGAACATACAGAGTGGATACAGTCACACTAGTATTGGAAGCATGGTGTGAACTCTGTGTCCCCAACCCAGACCCCCACAAGAGGTCAAGGTCAACAAGAAGTGTGGCTCCGTTAAGCTACGTGGAGGAAGCCAGGCATCAGGACCAGGCTTAGTATGACGCCATTTTTGTGAGCTGGGCTTCCAAAGGCAAACCAACGGGGACAGAAAGTCGATTGGTGGAGACCTGCTGCTGAGCGTGGGAATGGGCTGGAGGGATGTCACCCAGTGACCGAAACATTCTAAAACCGGATCCTGGTGATTATGTTACAACTCAGTAAAGTTACTCTCAATGAGTTGTACATGTAGGATGAACTTATGATATATAAATTGTAACCAATAAAGAAGAAGGAAATACAAATAATCTTATTTCAATCACTTTTGAGAAACATCATGGTATTTCATCTGCTTATTTGGTCAAATTATTGTTTTCTTTTTGCTTTTAGCTTTCTTAACTCACATTTCTGTTCTGCAGCAGGATTGGTATTTGGTCTTCTCCAATTTGTGTTTGAAATCTTGTTGGTATTTGTCTTTTAAACAAATGTGGTTTTCGTGGTCCAAGTTTCCTTCCCCTCTAATTTTCCTTTTCACGTTCAAACACGTTTGGTGGTGCCCCTCACTATCACTCAGTAGGATTTCTTACTGTTCTTTCTCACATAAGTCTTGTTAATTTGGAAGCTTCTCTACCTGGTTGAAGCCTGGTGTTTTCAGAGGAGGAAACAGCTGCTGACACAAGCTTGTGTTCCTTCCTCCAATGGACTCGTCATACTGACCCTGAGGACTCCTGCTCCCCGCCTGTCCCTTGGGCTGGTGTGTCCACTCTGCCATTTGGTCTCTGGGCTCTCTTAACATAATTGACAATGCCTTGCTTTGTTATACACTGGATAAACCCCAGTTCAGCTCCTCAGAGGAAGGCTCAGGGACTCAATGTCATGTCCATAATCCACCAATGGTCCTAAGACACTCTGGTCACTTGAGTTGGCTTTTACTCCAACAAGAGGAAGGACAACCCATGCACTATCTTCTGACCCAAAGGATACCTGGGACAAGGTCCCCCAAACTGATCCCACCAGGAAGTTCAAACTGATTAATTCCACTAGAAACCAAGTGTTTGTCATTCTTAGGACTAACCTACACATTTCGTGTAACTGTTATTTTTGTTTTCGGCTGGGTTTCTGAAGTTGTCTCAGGACCAGTGACGACTTATGATAAAATGTACACTGTTTGGCGATTTGAGTGACGCACCTGCAGAGGGAGAGGGCAGGCTAGCAAACTCTAGTTTATTTATCTATCTTACCTGAGTAACCCAGTCTCCATGTACTTTCCAGCGGATGTAGTTTACATGTGGAGAGGTTATCACATTCTGAATGGTGATGTTTGGCATGTTATCCACTTTGGGCATCTTCTTCCAAATTCTAAGGAGAAAAACATTAAACCATCAAAAAGAGGAGAATGGCCGACCCTCCTACGACCTGTTCTTCCAACCAGGAGCCTTTTCTTGGGTTACCTCTGGGGTCAGGCATCCCCCACTCCCTCATCTCTTCTCTCATATCCATCTGCCCCTCTCCAGGGCCTCTCTATCTCATCCATGGGGACCCCTCTGAATATGCCAGACCATTTGAGTTCTCCCTTTCCTGGATTCCCGAAAAGTTGAGTGTGTGATCATCAAGTTGGTGCGTGCTGCTTTTATTTATTTATTTTTTTCATGAGACATGTACATCTGAAGGCATCGGTGCTTCTTTTAAAGCCCCACAAGTCCCAGAAGGGAGCCAGGACTCAGAAACTCCTGGCAGAGCCTGAACAATTAGACAGAAAGAAGAAATTAAAGAGCTATATAAATAGGAAAAGAAGAGCTCAAACGATCCCTATTTTCCAATAACATGATTCTATATTTAGAAGAATTAAAAAAAAAAACTCCACCAGAAAATTTCTAGAACTCATAAATTAATTCAGCCAAATAGCAGGATATAAAATTAACATCCATAAAACAGTTGCATTCCTATACAACAGCGATGAATCAACTGAAAGAGAAATTAGGAAAAGTATTCCATTCACAATAGCCTCAAAGAGAACAAAATATGGAATTCAATCTAACAAAAGAGGTGAAAGACCTCTACTATGAAAAATACAGAAAACTCAAGAAAGAAACTGAAGAAGACTTTAGAAGATGGGACGATCTCCCATGTTTTTGGATAGGCAGAATTAATATCGTCAAAATGGCTGTACTACCAAAAGTACTACACCAATTTAATGCAATTCCTATTAAGTTTCTGATGAGATTCTTCATAAAAATAGAAAAAGCCATCATGAAATTCATTTGGAAAAATATGAAACCCAAAATAGCCAAAAGTGAAAGAAAGAAAAGTGAAGCAGGAGGCATCACAATACCAGACCTTAAATTATACCACAAAGCTATAGTAACAAAAAGGCATAGTATTGGCACCAAACAGACATGAAAACCAATGGTACACAAGAGAAGACACAGAGACAAACCCACATAAATTCATTTACCTTATACTAGACAAAGGTGCCATAAACATACATTGGAGAAAAGATAGCCTCTTCAACAAATGGTGCTGGGAAAACTGGAATCCATATGTAGCAGAATGAAATCAGACCCCTATCTCTGACCCTGCAAAAAATTCAACTCAAAGTGGATCAAGAACTTAGGCATTAGACCAGAGACCCTGTGCCTAACAGAAGAAAAAGTAAGCCCAAATCTCCATCATATCAACCAAGGAACCAAATTCCTCAAAAAGACTCCTAAAGCACAAGAAGTAAAATCAAGACTAAATAAATGGGATGACATCAAACTAGCAAACTTCTTCACAGCAAATGAAACAATCAAGAACATGAAGAGAGAGCCTACAGAATGGGAGAAAATCTTTACCACATGCACCTCAGATACAGCATTAATCTCTAGGATATATAAAGAACTCAAAAATCTTAACACCAAAACCCCAAATAGCCCAATCAATAGATGAGCAAAGAAACTGAACAGACACTTCACACAAAAAGAAAAATTATCAGTCCACAAATATAAGAAAAAATGTTCAATATCTCTAGCAATTAGAGAAATGCAAATTAAAATTACACTGAGATTCTATCTCATTCCAGTCTGAATGGCAATTTTCAAGAATACAAGTAACAATAAATGTTGGTGAGGATGTAGGGGGGAAAAGTTACACTTATACATTGCTGGTGGGACTGCAAATTTGTGCAACCACTCTGGAAATCAGTATGGAGATTGTCAGAAAACTTGGAATGGAACCACCATTTGAATGAGTTATCCCACTCCTTGGCATATTCCAAAGGATTTAAAATCAGTGTACTATAGTTATGCGGCCACATCAATGTTCATAGAGCTCAATTTACGATAGTTAAGCTATGGGAACCTTGGTGCCCTCCAACAGATGAATGGAGAAAGAAAATGTGGCACAATACACAGTGGAATGTTACTCAGCCATAAGAAGAATGAAATCATGGAATTTGCTGGTAAATGGATGGAACTGGAGACTATCTTGCTAAGTGCAATAAGCCAATCCCCAAAAAACAAAGGCTGGATGTTCTCTCTGATATGCGGATGCTGACTCACAAAAAGTGGGGGTGGGGAGGGAAGAATAGAAGTTCACTGGATTAGACAAAGGGGAATGAAGGGGAGGGAGGGGGATGGAAATGGGAAACACAGTAGACTGAATCCGACATAACTTTCCTAGGTTCTTACATGAATACATGGCCAGTGTAACCCCACATCATGTACAACCACAAAAATGGGAAGTTGTGCTCCATGTATGTATAATATGTGAACACACATTCTACTGTCGCGTATACCTAAAAATAACAAATAAACAAAAAATTATGGCCTGGGTGAGACTCCTAGGACTACCCTGTGTGTTCCAGTTGGAACTGGAATAGTCTTTAAAAGAAGATATTGGGTTTTTTAATTCAGCCCCACAAAGAAGGGGACGTCGCTCCTAGCCATCATGTGTGAAATCAGATGGGGCCATCCGTGACCTTCTGTGTTATAAAGGCTCTTGAATTATGGGGTCATTCACTCAGTGCTCTGGGCTCGGCTGTCCTTCCCACAGCTGAGACAGTAACAGAGCAGTTGGCACCACTGGGGAGATGGCATGTGGAGACATAGTGGTTGTGTCCCCAAGGTCATTCTCCCCTCTTCCCTCCAGCAAAGCCCAGTGCCTAGGGTCTGCATGTGGTTTGTCCCCCAGGGTGCAGCATTGGGAGCTTGGTCCCCAGTGTGGCCATAGCAAGGTAGTGGAGCCTCTAAGAGGTGGGCCAGGTGGGAGTCCCTAGGGTTCCCTCCTCAGGAGAAATGAAAGCAGTTCTTACAGGACTTTGGTTAGTTCTCACCATGTTTTAAAAGAACAAGTCTGGCCTCTTCCCCTTCTCTCTGGGGTCTGTCTCGCCACATGATCCCTCCCTCTCACAAGCCCGCCTGCCATGACACCACCGTCCACAAGGTGGTGCAGCTGAGTAGGGGCCTTGCCAGGGCTGGTGCTATGCTGTGTGGATTTATAGTCCCCAATCTATGAGCTAAATAGACCTCCTTTATTTACATATTACCTGGCTTCAGGTATTTTGGTATTGCAATGAAAATGGACTAATACTCCAAGATGTGTCCCAGTTCTGGCTAATGAGATAAAGTGAGATCAGCAGAGGAGCCTGGAGAACATTTTTTGCTCCCTAGGAAAATGTGAAAGTAGTATGAAACAGCCTCTCTCTCTCTCTCTCTCTCTCCACAGTTGAGATATCTGGAGTTACCGCAACCTTTTTGATAATATGAGGCCATGGAATGAAGGACAAAAAGCCCACAAGAAAGTTATAAACCATGGTATTCTCTTAGTAATTTTTTTTTCTGTTTTGGTGACAGCAAACATTGGTTAAGTTCCCACTATGTGTGAAGTACTGTTCCAAGCACTCTGTACCAAGGAACCCATTTACTCCTCCACGTGACCCTGTGGATGGGCACTATAGTTATTCTCTTTTTAAGGATGAGGGAATGGAGGCATAGAAAGATAAATAACTTGCCGAAGTTATCGAGTAGGGGAGTCGGGGTTCAAACCCAGGCATCCTGGATTGTGGCACGAGCCATTCTCAATGGAGAGACCAACTGTCCACAACAGTGCATCACTGATGCTCTCTTGCTTCCACAAATCACACCATTAAGACTTCAATTAAATCTTACAGTAAGTGTAACCTGGAATGGTGACCCATGCCTCACGGAAGCCTGTAGGCAAGATGTTTTTATATATATTTCCAGAAACCACGCAAGTGCATTGGATTCCCCAAAGCAGCCCCAACATCAGATCTTTCCCTCATGAAGATTGAGTAGCCCTTATCAGAAAAGCATAGAGCAGAAATGTTTCATATTTCAGATTTTGGAATATTTGCATATGCATAATGAGATATTTTGTAGATAGGACCCAAGTCTAAACATGAAATTCACTTGTTTCATCAACACCTTCTACAAGTAGCCTGAATGTAACTTTCTGCATTATTGTTAGTGCACCTGTGTTTTGACGCCAACCATCGCATGAGTTCAAGTATGGAATTTTCCACTGTGGCATCTCACTGGCATTCGAAATGTTTTGGATTTTGGAGCTTTTCAGACTCTGGAAGTTTGGATTATTGATGCTCAGGTGATCATTGTTGTGTCACCGCATTCGGTATGACATAATAAAGCTTTCTTCCTGTGTATTTTTAATTACTAGCCCAGTAGTGTACTTTTTGTTTAAATTATTTATTATTTTTTCACTATTTATCAAATATTAGTTTTGGCTAGGCATAGGGCTCAGTGGTAGGGTGCTTGCCTGGGGTGCCCTGGGTTTGATCCCCAGCACTAGAAAAGTATTAGGTTTGTATGTTTCAACCTGCTCCAAGTGATTTCTTGAGAATCCTCTATAAATAAGTCATTCTATCAGACTAATAAAAAAAAATAGTCTTGATACCTAAATCAACCATCACTGGGCACTTGCACATGCTTTTGGTTTGATCATAACCGTAGCTGGACTTCCGGGCATCTTGGAGGAGGGGGGAGGTCTATGTGAGGACTCCCTGGTTTTCAGGTGGCCCTCCCCCACCAGGTTCCCCACACCTTGGATAGGCATTGACACCACACCCTCCTTTGCCTGGTGAAGATCTTGCTTTGTTTTGTTTTGTTTTTAATGTTTCTTTTTAGTGTAGATAGACACAATATTGCTACTTTATTTATTTTTTTATGCAGTGCTGGGGATCCAACCCAGTACCTCACACATACTGCGCAAGTGCTCCACCACTGAGCCCCAGCCCCAGCCCCTGGTGAAGCTCTTTATTGCTGAGTTTTCTCCAACTTCCCACACAAGTTCCTGCGTCCTTCACCTGCTCAGCCCGAGAGTCCAGAAAGTTAGAAGATTAAGTAGATTTTAATCTCCAGA